GATTATCGGGAGCCCGTAAATTACCGTGTTTGCGTAATGCGGCTGTCTTCGGGCCTGATAGCGGTTTGATGAGCCCGTTTAGTGGCGCCCAACGTGGCATTATGCATAAGCCATTTGTTATACGATGTCGATGGTACAGACAACTTAATTGTATGGGGACATTTATGGCTCAGCCATCCGAGATTGTAGAGCGATGTTTGAAGGACAAAATTAGTTATTCCACGAATGAGTAATATACCTAAGGGCTGATTACCGACTGCTGACTGAACCGAAGAATAAGTTTGGCACATTGACAGTAATGGGAAATATGTCAAAATGACAAGTAGTCATTTATAAATAGTGTCATCGTGGGAATAAAACTGTGTTCAAAGAAAGTCAATAAATAGAGGTAGATGTGTTTTTGATGTTACGGCGCTTGTTTGTTACTATCTTGCTCGCTGAGCACCAATTTCTTCGCTTCACAGGGCACAAGCCCGATACAATCAAAGGGCTCTAGCCTCCTGGCTTCGAGGCCGCATTGATCACAAGAGGCATTATGCATCGTATGTTAACTTGGAATGGAGTGAGCCCAACGGTTCTCAATAGGCAGGAAATTGAGGTACAAGAGTAATCGATGAAATTGTTAGTCAAGCTAAATTTTAGTTTCCAAGTCACTTGTGATTATTATAACATAAATATGAAGATTTAGGAGGGCTGAAGAAAGTCCGGATCTAGACTTACCTACATAAATAAGTCAAAAAGTGACAGTTCTCTGATTCTTAGCTCTTAGCTTAGCTAGGAATTTTTAACACCGTTTTTAAACTAGAAGACAGACAGTACTTGCATTATCATAGCGCCACCTAATTTGGCAGTATACCTACTAGGGCATGCAAACAGGATAACCGAAAAACCGGATTACCTACATAATTTCTTGAAAATCCATTTATCCAAGTGTAATGTGACTAATAAATCATTTTGCTAAAATGTTCAGAACCTATGTCCATACCAATCGCAGACAGACATCCGATCTGACCAGTGCTTTGTGGTCTACACGGCCTATTCTGCCGGTGAAAGGGGCTCGCCGTATAAGGAATTAGTTCTGCTGATTGGATAAAAACATTTTAGTGACTATGTATTGTCTAACAATTCACTCAGTTAGTGCCTGAGGTGAGGTAAGAGGTATGGGAGCTGTTGACTCCTGAGTCGTCTCTGGGAGACGGTTGACATTGACATTATTATGACGTGACAGAGCATATAAATCTGAAGGATATCTGAAGGCTCGCTGACGTTTGCACACTCGCAACGCAAAACACTCCGTGCCGCTCCTCCCATGCCTCAGGCACTGACTGAGTTATAAACCTATAACCAGAATGCTCGAATGTTTAGAACCTATGTCCAAGTCTATACCAATCGTCAGACATCCGATCTGACCAGTGCTTTGTGGTCTACACGGCCTATTCTGCCGGTGAAAGGGGCTCGCCGTATAAGGAATTAGTTCTGCTGATTGGGTAAAAACATTTTAGTGACTATGTATTGTCTAACAATTCACTCAGTTAGTGCCTGAGGTGAGGTAAGAGGTATGGGAGCTGTTGACTCCTGAGTCGTCTCTGGGAGAAGGTTGACTTTGACATTATTATGACGTGACAGAGCATATAAATCTGAAGGATATCTGAAGTCTCGCTGACGTTTGCACACTCGCAACGCAAAAACACTCCGTGCCGCTCCCATGCCTCAGGCACAGACTGAGTTATAAACCTATAACCAGACTGCTCGAATGTTTAGAACCTATGTCCAAGTCTATACCAATCGACAGACATCCGATCTGACCAGTGCTTTGTGGTCTACACGGCCCATTCTGCCGGTGAAAGGTGCACCCAGTAAGGGATTAGTTCTGCTGATTGGATTTGTTAGAACGGTTTTACGGCGCGGCTTATGCTAATGAACGATATAACGCCGTAACTATTAATAACGACGCTCGATACCTGCCGAGATTATGTTTAACCCACTGATACCGATCGGGTGAGGTTTAGAACTATTCGACAAATTTGTTGAAAGGATTTTGTCATGTTTTCTCTTTCTTATGCGTTGTCAGAGTCGATGTCACGTTCTTTTCTTTCGTTCTTATACGTTGTCAAAGTAAATCGTATGACAACAGAGTTCTTTTCTTAACCGCTTGAACCAGTATACGACGGTTGGGTTTTCGACCGAATAGAATTTTTTATTGAGGAAAATGACCAAACGATTTGGTTAAATGTTTAATGACACACTTTAAAAGACGCAAATTATTCCATTAGCTTCATACTACATTATAAATATTATTATTAGGTACTTTGTTTGTATATCTATTTCTGAAGAACACTTTAACTGTGATTCATATGGCTCGCTTTAACTGTTTGACTACTGTGAGTCATAGTAATCTACTATTATCATAATCAATAGGCTTACATCCGCAATTTTCCTGTATAGAATAACGTCTCGCCTTTTTCCTTAAGAACTCATTTAATCAGATTCAAACAAAATTAAATAGCTTAAGTGCACTTAGTTACTGCCCAATCTAATCTTTAGATCGCGCAAACTGGTGAGTGCATAATGTACCGCGGGCATTGCTATCGAATGGATCTTTTAATTGCGCTGAATGCTTTACAGTTACTTTCAACTTGCGATTTGACAGATTGCCAGTGATGTCGAAATTACGACATTATCGATGTATTCGTAATAGACTAGAATCAGCGGCCTTGGGTGAAGTTTTTGCAATGCTTTTAGTGGTTATGTGTGGGATGAATAAAGAAATCAGTATTCATAGATACACTTCACATGTTGATAGAGTTATAAATAGATCCTATGTTTACGACTCATATGCAAGTAACATACTACTTGAATACCCTTGCAATGATAAATGAATTGCCACATTCAAACCAACGTCAACACTGCCTTCATCAATCTTTCCAAAGAACATCTCTCACGCTGACGACACAAAAACAATAGCCGTTGACGTATCGATACTTTTTTCTTGTCTATCGAGTACATACCAGCACTAAAGTCGTTGGCGTCTCGTGCCAGGTAACGGGACTCGCCCGGGTAATGCAATGTGTCGTGTTCATGATTGTGCGTATCTTTATTTTCCGCAATTACATACTCGTTAAAGTAACAATTGGAACTCTTAGTATCAATTTAAAAGTACAGTTTTCGGCTGTCTTAATCTGATAAAGAATTCAATTCGTCGTGACTCAGAAAATGAAAATCAGCAGCAGGAAATGTACAGTTTGTAACAAATTATTTGGTTTATTTTCATCGAGCGGCAGACCCTTTGGAGTTATTTACTGCAGTGTTAAAAGGAACGAGCACATTGTTTCTGGCGGCCGTGCAGCCGGCCCGCTTCCTGCGATCAATGGCCCTTTCAATTAAAAGTTTACCCCAGCTTGCGGGCGCCCCTTGCTTTTTGCTCGAATTACGAGGGCTGTGCGAAATGAACACGATCTGTGTTGTTTGGTCACTGCCCATTCTTATGTCTGCCGAACCAGTTTCAGGTGTTGGGAACTCGTGTGTGATAATAATAAGTGTCACCTGTCGATGTGACGCTTACCCTTCAGTTAAGGTCCATATTCCATAAGTGTACTCGTGTGCTCTCTGTTTGGTAAACTGGAAATTTCAGTTTTCTCTGTGGGTGGTCTTTAGGGTGATACGTAGCATTATTATTAGTTGTTACCGCTGTTGCTAGACCAGTTCGCGACTTACCATTGAACTCTGAAATCTTTGCCCCTCTTGATCTTCCAACTTAGCAACGGATATACAAAAAACCACTCTGGAGTTGGACACCCCTGTCCTAAGTTAGCCCCAGCTCTATCTACGTCTGTATCTTACCCAAAAACTTTTACACACGACTCGGTCGCGCCATTGTTTCAATCTAGATTATACAGCGTTTCACCGCGCTATGTGAGCCGGTCTAGATTGAATACGTCGTTATTGGGTCTAGTGCACGCTCGGCGACCATTGTCTCGGATGGGGGAACGGGAATTGGAGCTGGGAAAGGGATTTTTCCTTTTGGTGCCACGCGGATTTTATTTGGAAGAAACCTCGGTGAATACGCTGACGTTGCTGTAATCCCGTTTATTGTTGCGGCTATGTCAACATTTTTTACATCTCTATTTTAGATATTGATAAAGCAGTAAATAAAACAAATGCAAATGTCTCCGCGAATCACGAGGAAAGTTGTAAACTGAGTTCGCGAGAACTGGTTTTGTGGGCAAAGCACATTCAAAAGTCGTAATTCCGGACAAAATCCACTGTGAACCCTCATGTTTACGTCGTTGTCGCCACTTGAACGCGCGACTTTGCGTATTATGGAAACAATGCAGGTAACGTAAAGGCACAATGTTGCCAACGGCTCTGCGCTTTATGGACCGTAAAGCATTACGCCGATCTCAGCCGGTACGAGTTGCGACCGAAGATAACATACTTAGTAGTTGCGCCGCACGCCGCATCCTAGCTTTAATGCAAGTATGTAACGGTCGGGTAATCTCGGAGGCGTACAATGTTTATATTGGATTTTAAACTAGCTATTATTTCGCGCGTATCGGTACTTAAAATTTACGACCATGTTTTATTAGACCGCCAGTGAAGGTCGGCTTAGTCGGTAATAGGTATCTTAGAATGTCTAATGTAAATCTTTCTGTAAGTAATAGAACTAAAATATTCTATTCCGGTCGTTAAATTAATGTAAATATTATATGCGTAACATTCAAAATAGGTGCAGGTGCACAATTTTATAGCCCACATCCGATTTATTATTGTTGCTATGACGTAAGTCCGTTACAAGATAACTCCCAAACATCGAATTCGGTGACCTAATCACGGTCGCCTTTTTTAGAAATCTCGTTCGTTTTTGTAGGCTAGTGGCTCACAAAATAGATAACAGAATAATATTCATTTGTTTTATTATTTTGTTTGGTTTTATTTTCGGACTCATTTAATTATTTTTTTCAAGTCTTATGAGACTAACGAAAGTTTTCTCGTTGTTCCAGGTGGTGTTTGTGTGTGCCCGTCAGTGAGTGAGTGCCAAGTGTTTGTGTCAGTGCAGTGAAGTGAGTTGTGCGCGCGCGTCCGCTGTGGCGGTCACGCGGCGTTCAAGTCAATGCGTGTGCGCCGATGGAGCGGTGATCGCTTGACTACGTCACAACAGCAGCGTTGGTGAGTTGATGATTCATTTTTTGATACAATTTCAGATAATAAGATGCCTTTTGGATGGTTAGTCGACAAAGTCTTCCGTCGACTGACCCAGCTACGAACTGCAGGGCAGGGCTACTCCGAAACGATGTTTACGTAGTTTCGGGTCTAGCTGTCACCGTCTTTCATGCTGGAATCTCGCTTTTCGTGAGAGGGATGGCAACATTCAAAGCTTTAAATATCGTTTTACGGAGTAATATCCTCCTGGACCCGCGGTTCCAGTCGACGGAAGACTCCAAGAGCAACGTAAGATGGGGTTTACGGGACCTATTCCGCCACACTTTCCCACCACTGCAACTCCTGTATAGCCAGGATCTACAGCTTGGCCACTAATTAAACCCAACCAGGAAAAGTTGAGTATTTTCGGGGGATAGTATCTGTTTTGGAACCCGTAACGAATTTAATCAGTAGAATATTTAGGAGGCGCAAAGAACACGCCAGTAATCCCATTCATATATGGTCATGCAGACGCAAGTGGTCCCACTCTCATTTATTTGGTCCCAAGTACGTTAAATCATGTAATCCTGGACATCACAAAAAAGACAAATTACACGACCAGGAAATGACTCACAGTGAAATTTAATTGTTACTCAGATTGACACTCATGTCAGTCGTTTATGGCGTCTCGTAAAGTCTGACACTAGGGTTATGACCTCAGTTGTTACAACCCACACGATAGTCTCCGACTCTTCTCCGAGCCATTTACATTTTGAAAAACGCATGTCAAAATCTAATCATAATGCCATTTTAGCCAATACAACTGTCTCTAACCCCCCCGGTTTCTGAATTGAATTAAGTAGGTACCTAGTTGTGAAAATTTTAAGGCTTAAGTAAGTTTTCTCACTTAAGTAGTAAATTAGCACGCTCAAGCTTAAAATCTAAATTCAGAAGCCGGAGGTTAATGTATTTAACTGATTAATTGGGAAAATCTGCCGTATTTCCTTTATATTAGGTATGTATTACCGGAACTCGAAAACTTGATCCAGAACAAGCATTGGGCCTATATTTAGACAACTTCACTACTAAATCTACGAGCCTTAAAAACGGAAAATATGTAAAAAATAACATCATAGCAGCACATATTTCTTATATTGGATCTGTGGGTCTTCTTGACAACAAGTTGTTGCCAACAACTAATTTGTTTCTTTTTTTATAATACTCATACTTATACTATAGAGCTAAAATAACGAGGCGGCTTGCCTCGGAATTGTTTTCTACTAGAAGTAGGTTAAGGTCAAATTTCCTTATAAGGGTTAATAATGCCTACCCCATATTATTTATAAATCCTAATCCTTTGTTTACGAAAGCCGCAGGTCCGGCGACATGTGCCGCCTATATTATTTGGAAGATTTCGTCTTTCGTTTATTTTTAAACAACTGCTCCAGAATGAGGGTTATTATCTGCATTAAAATATAATTAATTACTTTGAGAAGTTGAATATTTGGATAAATTATGAATCTGTAAAACTCTGAAACAAATAAGTAATCGTTTGTTGAAATCTTTATTCTGTTTGCATTTATTATTTTAACATTGATTGAAAACCCAAATGTTGATAATGTTGCATTCTAAGATACCATATAATGCTGAACCAAAGGTGTGGTTATAATCAGTTAGCAGATTGCATGATTATCTATAGTTTAATCTCTATAGTAAACATATCGCCGCCCCGTATCGATAATAACATGTACTAATGTGTGCAAAAAAACCCAAGCTACTTCACCATAATACTGACCAGTAAAAAACTCACTAAACACGTTGTTTTTGCTCTAGGTAAAGCTATGCGCCTCGCCAACCACCAGAGCAGTAGGCGACCGACACTACTAATGACATTACAATTGTGAGTAGACTCTTGATTATACTTCTTTAACTGGGTCCGACTCTGCAAAACGATTTGTGACTCTATTCAACTCTTACGGCTCTTTCAAAGTCGTTTTTTAGCCGAACGCTAGTCGTCCGGATGCAGTATTGCACACGGAAACTGCGTTGTAATTAAAATGACAATTATGTACCAGCAGTCACAGCGATCTGCAAACGCTGAACGCACGACTGCTACTCAAATCGTCTAATTTGAAAGAGCCCTAACACACCCTATATTTATCTGATAAACTGAAATCGTTTAGCTGAGTGGACCTCTACACTGAATGTTCTTCTAAAGCTCAAATATTCAGAATAATTTTAAGCTGTGTAGAGTTGGAGCTTAGTAACTTTAAACACTAAAAGCGTTAATTAAATAATAACTTGCCTTATCATGGAATATAGTCCAGGGTTGACTCTCCAATACTTAGCTTGCTAAACAATATTTTGTTCTAAATATCATTTTGTATAAAATATGAAAAAAAATTGAATAATGGGGTCAATTTTTCGCTGTTAAAATAATACATGGACACATTCGAGCACCTGGAACTGAAATCACAGCTATAATAATAAACCTTTTAGCTTTGATTTTCATAAAATGATTCATAGTAAACAAATACACATAGTCTGGGCTAAGTTAATTGCATACAGAGTGGCTGTATACTCTACAAGGTAAGTCAACTAATTCCAATAGGTAAATGTTTGAATTAGTAGCAATTAAGCTTACGCTCATTAGTGCATGTGGTTGCTATGGAAGTAAAATTTGAGTTTTATTAACGTTCGATGAGATTAAACAGATAAGATAGTATTTTATGCGCTTTGAAATAAAAAGGAAAATAAGGAGTTTGAAAAGTAAATTTGTAGCTCAGAAAACATAGCTCAATTTGAAATATATCGTACTACCAACCTACTTAACTTCTTACATGTACATTTTGAGATACTGCATCTCATCTTGAATAAGATGCCTTCGCATCAGGGTGGATAAAAATCACGATTTTTTTATTTTAATCAAAAAAATCAGATTTTTTTTTTTTTAAATCACGATTTTTTTGATTAATTTGATTTTTATTAGGTTCTGCGATCATTTCTTTAGTTTTTCTTACGGAATACATTTTTATTTAAGTAGAATTGATGTATGGAGCAGTCAACACCGCCAAAAAAAATTAATTATGTGGTTATCTGAAAAATTGCAAATGTTTCAGATTCTCTATACAAAACGACAATTTCATACATTAACACCTAATATTAACATTGTTTTCGAACATTACAGTTGATTAATATTAACTCCCAGTGTTCACAAGAACATCACTACGCCGCGTGCCCCGCCGCCCGCGCCCGCGGGGCCCCCGCGCGCGCCTGTCACATCTCTTTTGTTTTTACATCGTTCACATCAGAGCAACTACGCAATTTTAATGTATTTCCTTGTAACAAGATATTCTTGGTAGTAAACCGTTTGAAACACGAAACAGCGTCTCCTTCATCTATAAGAATCCCGAACACCCAGCCTTTCATTAATTCCATTTTCAGTCATTGATTTAAATCAATGAATTTTATTAAAAAAATCATGTAATAAAAATCGTGATTTCCCTGCTTCGCATGAAACGCAATGAGCTGGAAACTAACTATTCTTTCTTAGGAATAGACAATAGAATATTACTACCATTTCAATATTGTGTGTGTGTGTTCACCTTCACAACACAACTTCAATTTAACAGAAATGTTAAATGAAATCAACATAGTATGCATTTTCTACATGATTAACATAAAATGGGTGTCATCTAGGAGTCAAGCGTTTATATGCTAGATTTTTTACATTCCCACACATCTAAAGCTTTCGAAGCTAGAACACACAAGACAAAGAGCAAAACGAGCGACGTTCGTACATAAATGGATTTAATCAAACGGCACTCGGCTCGAGTACGGCGGCCTTTGAATTCGGGTTACACCAACGTAGCCGTCTGGCTTCAATGGAAATGCGATGCAAATCGCTTACACGCTCGCGTGTACTTAAAATAAACGTGCGATATGTACGGGAAATACGTACGTGTTCTACAATCAGCATTCGTACTTGTCAAGAGAGTTCGTAAGGCATTTCAAATTGAAATCCGAATAGATCAATTTGATGATTTGGTCAAAACTAAGGACCCTTTCCGACTAGGGTTGCCAGTTCCAAAAACACAAAAGCCGGACTCTGTCTTTAACTTGGCCGGACATTTTACCCTAAAAGCCTGACAGGCCGGACAAGTTCCTGAAAAACGGGATGTCTCCTTAGAAAAGAGGCCTATTACAAAAACAGTCCAAAGTTTTAAGTCGCAGTTTAACTGACTGTCACCTACTTATAACATCAAATTGCAAAGTCAACACAATTTTTGTCAACCTAAGGACTTTATGGTAATGTGGTGTAGTAAAAGGGGTGTACTTATGCTTGAACACGCTCGTGGCTGATAAATTGATAACAGTGAGAGCAGCGCTAAATGGGGCGGGCGCGTGCGTCAAGTTAACGTAATATTTTTCATCTTAGATTAATAATTCTAGATGGAAAGTCTTCATTTTCTTTAAAGACAAACAAGCTTCGTCTTACACACGTTTACACTCGCGTTTGACTTTGTCGACTTCAGAATGTATGGGAAAAACTAAGCCAGTGGAGTCTAGTTTGAAGTGTCTCATTTTTCTTGTTCTGTTTCTAGGCGTTATAATTCTTTTCAATACAGATACGCGACGCTACCCTGCACTCGCTCGGGGTTTAGAAGTCTTCCAGTGACTTGGCCCACTTTTAGCTTGGTATACTAGCCAAGTCGCCTGTTTGAATTTTTAAATAGTTTTTCTTCCAGTGACTGGGCCCACCTCTAAGATTCTAGAGTAGATCTTTGTTGATTTGGTGTTAAATTCATTAAAACATTGTAGGTAGACCCAGTCACTGGAAGAAAAACTATTTAAAAATTCAAACCAGCGACTTGGCCCAAGGACCAGGCTAAAAGTGGGCAAAGTCACTAGAAGACTTAGTATTCGCCCCAACCCAAGATTAATAAACCGAAGAATGAAGTAATCTTGTTATGTTGTATTCTTTCAATATTTGGCAACTTACGAATTACGAGCACGTAATATTTTTGTTTGTATTCGTGTTGTGATTCTAAATAATTATAAATCCTAAATATACCAATGAGGACTTATTTACTATACTAATAATACGAGTATTACGGTAACAAACACTCAATCTGGGTTAAGCATTCTGTTTAAAATTGGTATTTGATTTAGTATTTTTTCGCTTTGATTTTGTTTGAAACATAAATTGAAGTTCACCCCATTTTATTTATCGCAAACCTGTGTTGTATAGTTTTTTTTTGCCACGGGAATTAGCTTTTTCATTGATCGTAACGTCTGGCGTAGCATGTAAAAATATATCGTAGATATTATGTACATAGATAAGCATGTAAATTACACTTAATGTACTTGATATAACTGATAAGCTATTTTTGCACAATGTCTAATAATAATAATTACTAAAGTTTCATGCAAAAAGGACGCATTTATGTATTGTCCTGTCCTGTATTGTATATTAGACCGGCTGCTAAATTGTACCACCTTCATATTCTTTAAACAGCTACAATGGCAACACAGTCATACGCAAAAACAATAGGACTGATAATGCCGTTGAAGCAATTTAAAGAATATTCTACAAAATATTAAGGTGGTACAATTATTATTTAGCAGCCGGTCTAATATACAAGACTTTCCCATGGATTGCTTCCTCCAGCACTAGTTTAGTAATGGCAAATGAACTGGGTAATAATTTGGATTCACATAATGAACTTGATTAACTTTGGAATTTTGGATAAGCTATGCTTGTTTATTGCCTTACTACTAAAGCTGCATGCAAAAAGGACGCAGTTTTGTATTCTCTTGTCCGTTTTCTACCTGTATTGATTGATTCCTCCAGCACTAGTTTAGTAATGGCAAATGAACCGGGCAATAATTTGGATTGCATAACCTTGTTATGCCGCGGCTGTGAACTCGCCTCTGCGTCATACTCGTTCGCGGTCTGGCGATAACAATGATGTTATACTATTATAGTGTAGTAGACGCCGAGGCAATATGTATCTGTAATGACTCGTAAGTAGGGGAGACCGCGGAGTTGTGACATTGTCGATATTTGGAAACCTATTAACTATCAGTCAGCTCGCAACAGCGCGTATTTGTTAGCTCGAGACTTGAACTAAAAACGTGCACTGTTATGAGCTCGATAGTAATAAATAAGATCCAAAAAATCGACAATGTCACAACTCTCTGTCACTTTTATTTACAATATTTACAATAGTATAAGATGCAGTGATTAGTTTTGAACTTTTGATGCGCTGTCGCTGTCGTCCGTACAAGGTGCTCTGAATCAACTTTTTTGTGTTACAAAATAATGTGTAATGTTTAGTCTAGCTAGAATGTTATGTCACGTTTTATCTTAACTGCATGGTCAGGCAAAGAACTTCCAATATCATTACAAGGCTTTATTTATTGTAGACTTTTTACTATTATTTATTTTATTTCCAAGTTTAAGCCTATCTTGTAAATCTCAATGAATTAAAACATTGTCAAGGTCATGTCCATCAATATTATTATGAAAGCTTGTAGCGCGGCCGATGCCCATCCGACGCATATAAAGTTTATAAACATTCCTTTATTAATATTATTACTTACTTATAAATAGTTTTTATCGGTATTTCAAAGCCTTATTAATTAAATTTGATCCTTTAGGTAAATCTATCAACTAGTTAAGTTTATATGTGGAAGTCCTTGCATTTACATTGTTTACTTTGCGCTTTAATTTAACACGCACTACATGACCTAAAATAATTAGATTGACTGACAGATTCCCAGACATTTGGATTATAAAAGTGTATTGTTAATTGTTATTTTCCACCGAAAACATTTCAAATATTAATTAGAGTTGACAGGTTTTCCACGATGGAAATTTGTTTTGATATCAAAGCAATGTCATTAAATCATTTTGCAATTAACGTTTCAACATAACAGTTTCTAAATGAACTAATTAATTTCTTTAAAAGGTAAAAGTAACTGGAGATTAGTATCATTGTGATTTTCGTTAGGCGTGGTTGTTGTTTTTCGTGATACTACTGGTGTCTGATGTGTAAGAATATTGTTTTTATTTTCACTTAACGTTTTTTATTGTTATCAAGTGTGTCAATGTTTTTGAAAGTGTTTACTAAACAGTAGCGAATATCGAATTGAACCTACTTATCTAATGATCGGATTATCGTGCACTTATTGGTTTCAGCTTTATTATTACCTCTACATTTGACCTTTATCAAAAGGTTAATCTAAATAGTTTTCAAATGAACACTTGAAGATTGTTTTATGTTATAGGCTGAAATAATATTGTTTTAATGGTCTGTTTGCATGTATTGTTCTGTTATAAATACATACCATAATTATTTTACTGAAGTGGTTAAAAGCATGAAGTTGAAGAAAATAAGAGCAATATCCATTCACTACTTAAAAATAATACAATTGTTACATCCAAAGTATGCGCTACTTCACGTTGTACTGGCGAGTCTTCCAGTGACTTGGACCACTTATAACTTGGGCCACGGGTCAAGTCACTGGATTGAGTTTTTAAATAATTTTTCATCCAGTAACTGGGCCTTTTATGTTTTTATTAATAAATCACCAAATCAACAAAAATCTACTCTAGATAGAATCTTAGAATGGGCCCAGTTGCTGAAAGAAAAAATATTTAACAATTCAATACAGCGACTGTGCCCGTGGACCAAGCTAAAAATGGGACAAGTCTCTAGACCTAAATGTAGTGTTGCCGCCGAAAGCAGCAGTTAAAGTAAACAGCAAGTTGCAACCTGCATATTCAGAGCATCTTCAGTGTTTGCCTTTAGACGACTTCCTCCGCATACTCAGGAGTGCATTTTAATATTAGTACGCGTCTGAAACGAGTTCGTTCCGACACATTAGCCGAATAACCATTTGGCAGGGACCGTTTATGATGCCATTTAAGTAAGAGTAACAATATCATATTCAAGCAAACGTACTTTTAAGTTTCTTTTTTGTTAGAGCGTGTAGAAAGTAATTAAAATTGGAAATCGTACCAATATCTTGAATCTCTTTTTATGTAGGAGTAAAAACTAATTTAAACTTTGAAGAAAGTATAATTCGTTTCAATTTTATGAGATTAATATCTTCAAGTCTTCACTGACTTGAATTGACGATTTATCGTACTTACTCAAAAATATACTTCTTCTTCTTTTGGTTGTTGGCGATACTCGTCGAAGCAGACTTGATTTGTGCCATTTTCAAGTGAGGTGAGAGACGAGTTCAAAAATATACTTGTATCTGATGTAAGAAATAGCAGACTCGCTAAATAAATTAACACAGTCTGTTCATGTTCATACGGACGCACAAGCGGTGCCCTTTCATTACATCACTGACATTGTGAAGCCCAAGGCCAGGATGAATGCGCCGTTTCGGGGGGACAAGTTTAACCTCTTGGCCTTATTTTGTGCTTATCACGCGCTTCGAGGGTCAAGCTCAGGCTTACTGCCAATAATAGGGCACAGATGGAAGACTTTATTACATAATGTAACAGAATTTTCCTATGTTACTGGGCTAATGTTACGTTACATTATGTAGAGCGATACACAATTTGTTTGGATGTGTTTATATTTGCTATACGTTCAGGAATGTTTCTTAGCATTGGAACGCGCAAAACATTCTTTCGAAAAACCCAAGAGTAGAGTTCCAATAAGAGTGCCGAAATCTACCAATCTTGTGTTCGATTGCCCATAACCATAAATCGCTTTTTGACTTTTGTCTTTCCTTTGCACATTCGCTTCGATGACACCCATTTATCAATATCTCGGATTTCGATAACGATTGCGAAAATTGCGAGCTTTTCGTATACGATAGCGTAAATGCTTTTACTTTATTTCAACTTCTTTATAGCATGTTTAGTGACATAAATATCCAGAGCAGGGGTCTCCAAACTTTGAAGCCTTGGGGCCAAAATATTTTTTTCGGTGTGTTGCAAGGGCCATAACAATTTTAATTTTTCTGCCCACCTATGCAAACATAGGTTTAGTCTTAAGTTGTCGCGGGCCGTAGTTTGGAGACCCTGATCCAGAGCATACCTATAAAGTTACAGAAACTGCGCATTTTTGCTTGACCAATGACAGTTTTAATAAAAACCGCAAAGCCCTAGATTTTAGAAGGATTAGGACTAGTTCTGATAACAATGTTATTGTTTATGATGTCATGTATCTATTTCTGCATTTCGTTTGCTAATTTGCCGGTGTGTTATTCCAGGTGACGCGCTGCGGAGCGGTGGTTAAAGCGGCTCTGCCGCTTTAAATGGACAAACGCAAGATGCTGCCAAAGAGAGCGCGTATGGAAGGCATGCGGGGGGGTCCCATTGCAAATGGACCCCTGCAATCAAGGTCAGTACCACCACAACAATAATTGAAAAGTTATATAAAGTTTAGACTTTATAACGACAATTAACTTAAACGGCAAGTCTAATCCGATTATGAGGTAAGGGGGCGTCCATAAATTACGTGAGACTTTTAGGGGGGGGAGGGGGTGAACAAAAACCTCACTTAATCTCACGTGGGGGAGTGGGGGGGTCTCGGGAAATATCACGTAATTTTTTCCACAAGAAATAGAGAAATAGAGTTTGCCAGAAAACTGGGTTAAATCTTAAGTAAAAAAATTGACCAAGTGCGTGTCGTGCCACGCGCAGTGTAGGGTTCCGTAGTTGTCCGTCGTTATCACAATATATTTCAGAAGTAAGCAATTACTTCATCTAAAGTCACTTTTAATATTTTCTTCTAAGGAATTTTTATTAGGTATGAAATTTTATAATACATGAGTAAAACGACTATTACTCTTGAACTAACTGATCTATCTTAACCGCTATAGTTTTCCTTGAAAGTTCATAAAAAGCACTATAATCTTGAATTTTTACAGACTTATCAAGCCAACAATTTAGTTTTTATTTATTTATTATTTATTTTATTTATTATTCATTATTGAGCAATTACATATTTGATCCAAATAGCGTCCTAAATCCTCTTTAGATTTGTCTAGACACTATTGTTCTCTATACAAATAAAAACAAACGTTTTAGTATAAGCATTCACAACACTTTCAGATATTATACAAAACATTATTTTAGCGAGTGCGCACCACGATGATGATTTTAGAGGGGGGAACGCCCGTTTCGGACATAAATTGACACTTTAAACTTTAACATTTTGCAAACGGATCCCTAAATCGAAAAATGGTCTTAGAAACCCCTAAGCCATTTTAAAAGACCTATCCAAAGATACCCCACAAGATGGGGTAGAAGACGAAAAAATAAATCATCCCCACTTTACATTTAGGGGAGCTACCCAAAAAAAATTTATTTTCAAAATTTTATTCTACCGTTTTGTCGGCGTGATTAATATACATACCTCTACAAAATTACAGCTCCCTAGTGCCAATAGTTTCCAAGCAAAACCTCGGACAGACAGACAGACAGACATATCGAAACTATAAGGGTTCCTTGTCAGGACTAAAAATGATATTTGTATGATGATAATGTCATTTTATTCTATACCGTCTAAACAAATAAAACTAAAAATGCTTCCGTCTGCATGTGTGAATACTAAAATGCAGAATAAATGACGAAATTAAGAAAATTATAAAACAAGTTCTTTTTTTTATCAAAATCGATTTTGCTAGACTATTAGTGACTAGCGGCCGCCCGCGACTTCGTACGCGTGGATCCCGTTTTACCCCCTTCATCTATCTTACGCGGTTTAGATTTTTTCATACAAATGTTTTTTCCCGCTAACTCCCGTTCCCGTGGGAATTTTGCAATATCCTGTTGTAACTAAGCTTTAAATTTACTAAGGTACCTGCGTGCCAAATTTCAAGCGTCTAACTTAAGCGGTTTAGATTTTTCATACAAAAGGATTTTCCCGCTAATTCCCGATCTCGTGGGAATTTCACGAATTCCTTGTTGTAACTAAGCTTTAAGTTTACTAAGGTACCTACATGCCAAGCAGATACTTTCAAGAACTAAAATCTTCAACTTATAGATCTTTTTGATGCACTCGTTAGCGACAACGTTAAATGCAAACTCGCACTAAGCAATTTCGGATTTTTTTTAAATATCACGTGAGATTTGGGGGTGGGGGAGGGGGTCAGGCAAAATCTCACCAAATCTCACCATGGGGGGCGGGGGGGTTGAAAAATAGCCAAAATTGTCTCACGTAATTTATGGACGCCCCCTAAGCAGCTTAATAAAATAGGATCTTGAATTCAAGACGACCCGACGACCTCATTCACAATCCACTTTCGCTCTTGAATAAACACTTTTTTACCTGAATCTACCCGGGACTGGCACTAAATACCCTATTGTTACCAGACAAAACATCGTTACCAATTCAGGTTGATAGATTAGAAATTGTATTGTGCCCAGCCCTAAACTCGCAATTGTCAACTCGTAAACAGTTTACCAAAGATCCTCGCCCCTTCGTTTCGCATTCGGGGCGAAGCCTGCGAAACGCGGCGAGCCAACAAAGCAACGTCCTTCCTCTAGTGGGCTCACTCCACTTATTCTTTTCTGGCGCTAATCCTATTTGGTTTCCATCAAAACTTGCCCGAAGGGGTTGCGCCACCCGCACCCGTCGCCGGCCTCTTTGTTTGCCACCAAATCTGTTTTCGTTTGCCCCGGGAAAGTTTGCAGAATTTCTGAAAACTCCTTCTCCGCCCGGAATTACTTTCTCGTTTCGCCGCCGAAACTTTTCCCGGCAATAATAATAATTCCGCTTCGCTATGACGAAAGTTTAAATTATTAGTTTAATCGTACTGGCGCGCTTTAATTATCCGAAGGGTGGTCGGGGGCCTGTCTCCGTGATTAGGTAAGTTGGCCGGGTCTTGTAGCAACCACTCGGAGTGTTTGCTTTGAAACTAAATTTGTTCATCAATTTGGGGATCTAGTCGACCGTTAATGGGCCCCGCCGCCCGATTGTTTGTTTTCCAATACAAGTTGGACTACTAAATTGTGACGTCACAGCGTCTGTTTACAATTTTTGTTACGGTGTCAATAGTTCACTGGAAATAAACAACTTTGTGCAGTGTAATTAATAATATCGGTGTCCAATGTCATGATTTGGTCGACTTGGAATGTTGCCGCGTCGAGTTTAATGACGTTGATAAATAAATTGTGGCATTGACCTTGGGTTTGAAATATACACAAGGACAGCTAAATAATAAAGTGTAAGTATATTAGCTGCAACGTTAATGTTTATCAACAAATCCGTCTGATAATGCAATATTAATATAATTATCTATTAACTTTTGCCTAAACTGCATTCGTTTTGGATTTCATATTATAATTAACTAATTAAGTAGGTAATTAAACAAAAGAAACGTTTGAATCCGTGATTAGGTTATTATATCATCCAATGAACAAAACAGTTAATTTAATCTTTATTTCACATTTTTTAAATGCATAACAAGGTAGGTATTTGACCCCAATCGCACCTGGTGCTAAGTGAGATGCAGTCTAGCTAGCATGGTACATAATATCTTCCCTGTAAGTGTCTATTTTCAAAAACTCCACCGTTACAATGTAACAGTTACATCTACTGCTAAACATAGTTCTGGCAAGACCTGATTTAATCCACTTCTGGCGATAATGATTCACAGTGGTTTCCTCCACAACATTTAATTAGATTTTCCGCCAATCAGTCAGACGGTCGTGTCCTATTAATTCATTCTAATTTAATTAAAACACCGGGAACAGTTCTGAAATGTTAGTTATTGTTTTAAATCAAATCTACAACGTAGTAATTATAATTTCAGTGGGCTTAGTGTGAGTTTGCGTTGAACGTCGTCCTAACGAGTGCGATGAAAAATCTATGAAGATTCAGTTCTTGAAAGTATCCGCCAGGGACGCTGCACAATCTGTCTTACATTCATATCAGTTTTTTACGCAGTCGCGCGATGACGTTTGGTGTAAACTCACACTGTTGTACTTATTCACAAGGATGAGTCACACCTGTAATGGCAGCTCGGTTTACCCAAGCGGTGTTATAACAAGCTGTTTTTTGCACCGACCGATTACCAACACGTCAAATTGCCTCAAATTGCCTTATTTAGTTACTGCTATTTGCCTCGGGCAAATAATAGTTTTTGACGGCTATCCTTTATTTATGTGAGCGCTAATATCAGTCTGTAATTATAAAAGAGCAGGCTTATTCTTTGGTCTCATAATTAGATACTACGTATTACAAACAGTAAACAAATTATAGTTTATAAATATCATTCAGATAACCTCGAGATGATAAGAAAACCATCATGATTGTTCCATTTAGTCGGCTGACCATGACCACAGGACTGACAAATTTTCCACGTGAATTAACGATAATAGCCAAACCTCATAAAGTATACGATTACGTATACGCTGTGATTATTAAAAAAAAATAGATACAAACTAGCTTTCCGCCCGCGGCTTCGCCCGCGTGTAATTTTGTCAGGTCACAGAAAAACTTTATCGCGCGCGTCCCTGTTTCAAAAACCGGGATTGAAAGTATCCTATGTCCTTTCCCGGGACTCAAACTATCTCTATGCCAAATTTCATCAAAATCGCTTCAGTGGTTTAGGCGTGAAAGCAAGACAGACAGACAGAGTTACTTTCGCATTTATAATATTAGTAAGATTAGTTAGACTATCGTTATACACGTAACCAGTTTTGAAGCTTAACAGCTTCGTTAATTCTTTCATCCATCTTATTTTTATTCAGATGACAGATACAACAAAAATATCACGGAAACTTTCGTTTAACGCCTTCCATTAACATATCGACTGTTTGATAATAATAATATTTGAGTTGTGTTCGCTCGAGAGAGTGCGTAGGCGTCAAATCGAATGGCGTTAATCAAGCTTATCGATGTAAAATCGGCTCAGTCTGTCACACCATTACCAGCTTTCGATTTGATGAATTAACCCTCGCTGTACGAGGTGGGGTGTGACACACCCCAGGCCTTTAAAAATCGCCATAATTTTAAAAATTTGCAAGTACTGAATTTGAAATTCTCAGTAGCTGGAATTATGGCGCTGCTGCTTCGATCAGCGTTAAAAAATCAGTCCAGCGGTGACTACCAACTGAGTTACATGCCTTTAAAGTGCGTGTGGGTGTCACACACCCCACCTGGTACGGGACGTTGTTAAAAAAGTTAAAAAATAATATAACAGTTTTGGTATAATTAATATATTTTTAGCTTTGTTAATTTAATAAAATTCAATACAAATAACATTTTTCGTGATTTTCACGGAATCTGAAATTTTCAAGCACTTTTAGTCAAATGAGATGACTTTTAGTGCGAATCTGGAAGTTTAGTACTGAGATCCGAAGATGTAAGTGAACATACACTTATGGGCTACAATTTATACTTAGTGATACAATTTATGGGTTACTGAAATGGAATAGCATATTTTATAAATAAATAAAATTGTTACGCTCCCATTTTATGCATTGAGCATACTCATTTTCTTTCATCAGAATTGTAGTAAATTGAAAACCTATAATCAAAATAAATTTATACCCTTCCAGTTTTTAATTTACTTTTAAATTATAAGTAAATATCTTGTACTTTGTTAAATAAAACTGTTGTCATAATTAAAGGCACTAATTAAAAATTATACATAAGAAACTGATTCCTCAATTACAAGAACAACGGAAATTGTGTCTTTTTGTTATTTTATGATAAAAGTGTTATAATACACATTTTCAGCTCAGAGCTTTTCTTACACCTAATTAGCATACGTAAATAATCAATATTAAATATAAAATTCCACCTAAAGAATTGTTCAATAAAAATTTTATCGCTTTGTATATTGGGGTATGTCATACCCCACCTGGTACGGGACGTAACTTTTAGTCACCTCGTACACGGAGGGTTAAACAACTTTGTTCTTCATTATCCTAATGTACGACAGAGATGTAGATTGCGTTTGTAATAAACTACGTTTTGATTGATGTTTGTACACTGATTAACTAATCGACATGCCTAAGTTATTTTCGTTTTTAGTAAAGAATTAACATTGATGTTATTATGTCATTAGATTCGGAATGTTAGTATTAATTTGGTGAAAGTTTTTTTTTTGAAGATCTATTTGCATTAGGAGCGTTGCCAGTTTTTTTTTCGCCAAGTCGGGACTTTGGTACTTTTTGAGTGAAAATAGCGGGATTCTTCCGTCAAAAGCGGGACATAGTAAAAAAACGTATATATAATCAAAGGTTTTCAAATATTTCTCTTTTTATTTGATTAAAATTACGTTTACGTGACAATAGATAGCAAAAGTAGCCATAGAAAATGTATTTTAACAAAAAAATAATATTTAAAATTTACTGTATCGTCAAATTCGTCTTTAGAATAAAAAAAGAAAAAAATTAAAAAAGTTTTATTCTTTAGAATAATATGGCGTTTCAAACAATAGTCTGGTGAAGTGAGTGTCTCTCTCCGAAAAGCGGGACCGAGCCTGTCCCGCGCGGGACATTTAAATTTGATCAAAAAATCGGGACGTCCCGCCAAAATCGGGACGTCTGGCAACGCTGCATTTAGGAGGTACCTTCTGCTAGCTGCTTTGTTTTGTGATAAAAGTTGATAATAACTCGCGCTGGACTACAACGTTAGCAATGGCACAATTTATTTATCCTGCTGGGTACAATATTATTTTGACGAACAAGGACATTTGTAGCCTCTTATTATGTGTGCATAGGGCTGTTTACATGATCCTATGTAATAATTTAGAATGTCTAATACGCGCGTAAAAGAATTTACGCATGTCGGTGCGCGACCATCAGAATTTACTTGGCTTTGTGGTAATCGTATCATTAGAACTTGAATGATAATGCATATTGTTGATTTGGTCAAATCCGAGTAGGTCATGTGATTGATAGATTGTTTATAATAGAAATCCAATGATGACATAATTTATTTTACATTTCCAGGCCACTAGTGGCGTTATTAGACGGGCGGGACTGCACCGTCGAGATGCCGATACTGAAGGACGTAGCCACGGTGGCGTTCTGCGACGCGCAGTCCACCTCCGAGATCCACGAGAAAGTGCTGAACGAAGCCGTGGGCGCGCTCATGTGGCACACCATCATCCTCACCAAGGAGGACCTGGAGAAGTTCAAGACGCTGCGGATCATCGTGCGCATCGGCTCCGGCGTCGACAACATCGACGTCAAGGCGGCGGGGGAGTTAGGTGGGTTTTGATGCTTATTAACTAGCTCTTAAGACTCATTTTAGCGTACGGATGCGAGGCGTCGACCCTGATCCTTCAATAGGAAAACAAATGACGGTCGCCGAAAAGGAAATCCTCCGAAAAACTTGGCCCTAAACGCGACACGAAACGCGAAACAAGTGACTGTCGCGAAACCGCAAGACACACTTTGGGTCGCTGGGCCTTCGGAGGGAGCAGTAAGTATTTGTCCCACGTCGGATATCCACGAGAAGGTGCTGAACGAGGCCGTGGGCGCGCTCATGTGGCACACCATCATCCTCACCAAGGAGGACCTGGAGAAGTTCAAGACGCTGCGGATCATCGTGCGCATCGGCTCCGGCGTCGACAACATCGACGTCAAGGCGGCGGGGGAGTTAGGTGGGTTTTGATGCTTGTTTACTTGCTCTTAAGACTCATTTTAGTGTATAGTTCCAAAATACTGAACTGTCCTATCGATGACATTGACAGCGGGGCGCCACCGTCAATACCGAATCGCTGGTTCCGATTTTTGCCATGTTGGAAACCATAAAGTTGAACGATGGTAGCGCCCCCCTGTCATTGAGTTTGGCGGGACAGTTCAGCGTGGGTCATCTATACGGATGCGAGGCGTCGACACTGATACTTCAAGAGGAAAACAAATGACGGTCGCCGAAAAGGAAATCCGAAAGTCTTGGCCCTGAACATGACGCGGATAAATAATGTCAAACTAGAGGGACTGAGTTATGCTCGGAGAAACTAAGGCACATAGGCACAGTTGACTTGGTCATGTTGAAAGAACAAGGTGTATTTGGAGAGCAAAAAAGGCATTTTTTATCTCTGAAGGAATAAATTGTCAGTGTTTTGAACAAACAATCAGAAAGAAATTAAAAAAATATATCTTCCCTCATCAACTTAACAAAGTTCCATCCAAACCGCGACTGGAATATCGATGAGATGGGACAAAATTAAACAAGTTCTAATTGGAATTTTGATTAAAGGGTGAAATAAAATTGCAAATAAGGATCTTTACTCTTCATTCTTCATCTTTATTAAATCTGAAGTAAGCTATAGATCTCTCCATCCACGAAGACGCGCCCCACCACTCTTCCGCTAATGTTTGAGTGTTATCGGTACACACTAAATTATCTACAAGTGAGATTGCTTGGATCAAACTCCCCGTATCCCGCGCTTCCCTCCAGTGCCGTATTATCCATAAGGCACTTTAGGCCAGTGCCTAGGGGCCCACTATGACCAGGGGCCCAGCACTCTTGATAAAAAAATGGAAAAATAATGTTAAAGATTATTTTTATGCAACAAAACTCAAACCACCTCAAAACTTCGCCTTATTTTGGTTTAGGTACACATTCAATCGTCACATTTCGATATTGTGGAACCTAATTATTCATCTTCGTAACGTTGGCATTACTGCTTTGGTTTACATGAGTCATATGACAGGTCGACCGTCGACGCCCTTCAGAGGCTAAAAAGCCTCACTGCAGAGGCTAGGGAGAGGGGTGACCGTGAGGGTATGTTGGCTGTGTCATTCGATATAGCCAACGCTTTCAATACCATCCCTCATTCCACCATACTCTAGGCACTTCAACATCACAGATTGCCTCAGTACCTTCGAGCGCTGCTGGCCGATGACTTACGGGACCGTGAAGTCCTGTATGGCCAGCTCAAACGGCGCGGCGTAGCCAGCGGGGTTTCGCAGGGTTCGGTGCTCGGTCCACTCTTGTGGAACCTAGGCTTCAACTGGCTCCTCCGGGGCGTCCTTCTCGAGGGCATGAGTGTCATATGCTATGCGGATGACACTCTGGTCACTGCCCGGGGGAAGACATTTGGGGCCGCGGTACGGCTGGCGTCGGCGGGCGGCACATTAGTCGCTCGCAGAATACGACGCCTCGGCCTGAAAGTCGCGCTGGAGAAGACTGAGGCCCTCTTCTTTCTGGGGCCTCGCCAGCGCGCCCCTCCCGACGCCCACATTGTGGTTGAGGACGTGGAGGATTGACGTCAAAGGCTAGATGAAATATTTGGGCCTCACGCTTGACGGGAGGTGGCATTTTAGTCCGCACTTGAACGGGCTAGCGCCACGCCTCCTCAAGGCAGCCGGCGCACTGAGTTGGCTCCTCCCGAATTTGGGAGGGCCACCAACGAGGTGTCGTCGACTTTATGCCGGCGTTCTGAGGAGTAAGTATGGCGCTATATGGCGCCCCAATCTGGGCGGACGCACTCAACAACAGGGAGAATGCTGCCGTTCTGTGCAGGCCCCAGCGGGCCATAGCGCAGAAATTCACGAGGACCTACCGTACGGTAGGGCACGCTGCAGTGTGCGTCCTCGCTGATACACCTTGGGAGCTAGAAGCTGGGGTCTTGTCTGTCATCTATCACTGGATGGCAGACCAGAAGGTGCGTGGAAAGCGCCCGGCCCCGGAGCGGCGCGGCGCCGTCAGGCAGGAAGAGCGCGAGATCATGATTGACCGCTGGAAGGAAGAATTAACTCGCGCGCAGTTTGGCCGCCGCACTCTGGACGCTATTGGTCTTCGTACCTGCATAGGATCGGGCGAGAGGATTCCCCGCTATGCCACAAATGCGGCGCGGTGGATGACACGGTGTCTGCACAGGCTGGGAGGAGCAGCGCCGTGTCCTCACTGCGGTCGTGGGCGGGAATCTTTCGCTTCTGAGCCTGGTCAACGACACGCTGGTAAATGGAGGATGCTGGATGGCGGTCGTTTCATTTTGCAAAGAGGTCATCCTTCAGTAGGAGGCAGCGGAGCGCGAGCGGGAGAACGATCCTCTCGCCTCATCACTCCGCAGTCCGCACCCCCTTGGTGGAAAAGGCGGTTGTACGACCGTTCTACTCTGCCCCCAGGTGGCGGCCAGCAGGCCGGGGGTGCGGGGCCACCCTTGTCACCTCCGTCTGACGGGAACGGCTTGGCGTTTCGGGCCATTCCCGTCGGATCCCCACAAGGGGGGCGTGTAGGGTCCGCCGTGTAGGCGAGGCTCGTCCTTTTCAGGACGGAGCAGCGCCCTTTTTGGGCGCTGGGAGTCCCATACACCACCTTGTCCCCCGGCAGTGATGACGGTGCACAAAGCATTTCTTCCGCGACAAAAAAAGGGAGGCCCGAAATGAGCTGTGCCTAGGGGCCCCGAGATGGTTAATCCGGCCCTGCTTCCCTCGACCAAAAATTGGTGGGGAGCGTCTTCGTGGATGGAACTATCTATAGTCGCTAATTCAATTAATACAGAATTACGGAAAGAAAAATTGAAACACACAACAGCCTAACTGAAAGAAAAAAATTGTCGCTTCTCATTTGTAAAGATTACCTGAATAATTAAAATTACTTTCCAAACTATTTGTAAAGAAATTAACATTCAATAACAAAGTTAGAACAATGAAAAATCGACAAAAGAAGTTAAAAAGTTTCGCCCTTTCATTCAACCCGCTCGGGATCGATACTTATTATGTCTGTTCAAAGGAAGTTGTTTCACTGACTTCAACTTGCCGCCGAGTTTTCTCACAAACTTACGGCTTCAATTGAAACCGAAACTTAACGTTCTTTCTGATAATGGCTTTCTGCAGTCAAAAACTTTGTTTATCACGTGGCAAATTCTTTGGAATTCGGACAAAAGATACATTTTGTCTAATATTTGTTTGTGCCTTTGTAAAAGTTGGACGAACTTTTTTTTATTGTTGTAATGTTTTTGTTGACAACAAACAATTAAACAAAACAATCATGATGTTGGCTGAAGTGAGTGAGGTTTGTTTATGAATTTTTATACAGCTTGCGTACTGGACTACTGGTATACCTAGAGTTCCGACAGAAATATGTGCCTTACTTTCTTCTATACACTTTTGCAAGTTTTCTCTAAATTAATAGAAAGTCAGTCGTCACCATCCAATATTGTCGAACCAAAAACCGGTAGTTTGTTAACCTATTCTTCATTATTCCTTGGCTTCCAATTACCAGTCAACTTGTCTTCTATACAAGTCTGTTACCAAACAAGTTATAGAAGTTACAAATATGTGACCCTCACTCGGGATAGGGCACACTGAAAAACAGCGTCGTGGCCTTCGTCACCGTGGGCCACGGCATATGCTTGTCCCGTTGCAGTGGGCATCCAGATTGTGAATGGTTGGCACTGCTCAGTTCGCTCTTGTTTTTGTATAATAATAATAAATGTTTCTTTCTTTGAAATATTAACAAATGATGTATTTCTATTCCAGGCATAGCAGTATGTAATGTTCCGGGTTACGGCGTGGAGGAGGTAGCGGACACGACGATGTGTCTCATATTGAACCTGTACCGGCGGACGTACTGGCTCGCCAACATGGTGCGGGAAGGAAAGAAATTCACAGGTAATTTTCAAGTTTTATTGTCAACATGTCTTTCATTTATGATCACCACGAATCTGTCTTTAAATTGCCTGATCTTTGATTTACCCAGTATGCTTATTCACTTATAATTTACCATTAAACTTCCGGTTAGTATACGAAAAAGGTTATTTCAAACTCTCGTTTGATCACTTTCTAATATCTCACTTAAAGTTTTATATGTGTAAAAGTTTGATAATGACTTTCAATGTTTGTTTTCAAACATTTTTGGATGTAAGATATAGGTTAATAGTTAATTTATGGTCCTTAGATTTAAATCTGTAATGTCCAAACTGTCCGTAATGGAATAATAAATGTATTTAAATCTGGGCCCTGTTATTTGTTTACTTTAAATATTTGAAAGCCGTGGACACGGATCACTCGCTTCAGCTGCCATTCCATTTTCACACATCACAGTATAGAATTAGCTTAAATGTGATATGAAAGATATTTATTTTGGATCAATCAGTGTTGTCAAACATTTAGATACAACAGCTTGTTATTCAACTTAAAGTTAAAATTCTATACTGTGCTAGAGTGCGTGTAGTCTGTGGCAAACGACGTAGTCAATCTATACGGCAGCGGTATTTAACGTTTCTGCGTCTCATGATGACACACTACACGCGTCTCAACTGGCTTTAGGCCGAGTTTCCACTGAGGCAGAGTTCACTTTTTATATAAACTCCCGACTTCGCCCAGTTCAGCCTTAGTGAAAACGCAGCCTTGATGGCGCAGTTACACTATACGAGAAATTTAACGAGACAAAGCGCGAGCACGCATACCGAAGTATGGGTGACGCACGGCGAAACTAAGTTCGTGTTTACACTTACTTTCTTATTACAAAAAAGTTAATCCCGAGACGAAAACTGGTTTAAAATGAGAATGTCAATTTAAACCAGAGTCCAATGAGAGTTTAACTTTTTGTGATGAGGGCTATCGTTTTAGCGCTCACCAGTTTGCGCCACTGTAGAGTAAGGTCTTGTCACTTGCTAGTAGCGAAGACAGTGGCACCAACTGGTGAGTGCTAAAGTGGTAGGAGGACTATCGCATTTGCACTCATCAAGATGGCGCCACTGTAGAGTAAGGTCCTGTCAATCGCCAGGGGTGCCAACTGTTAAGTATAAATCCCATCAAAAACAATACTTGTCAAAAAAACCAAGTCTCGCAACTCAGTTGTTCTACGGTAAAAAGTTGTGAGATCCATGTAATACCAAGTCCAGGCCAGGAAATCTTAAACGTTTTACATAAATTATTGACTTGGCCATCGCACTAAATAATTGAATTTACACGTTTTCATGCGATGTAAATATTTGCTAGACTTAGCGGTTGCACTACCGTGCCCCCAAATATTTTAGTTTTTCCTTGATTCATACACCAAACACTACTTATATTCCAAATTTGAAGCTTCTAGGTCTGCTAGAAGTGCCTTAGAGTTTTGATGATCGGTGAGTCACACGCTCGGCATCGTCGGCCTGGGCCGCATCGGCTCGGCCGTCGCGCTGCGGGCCAAGGCCTTCGGCTTCAACGTCATCTTCTACGACCCGTACCTGCCCGATGGGATTGAGAAGTCGCTCGGGCTCACCAGGGTCTATACGCTGCAGGTACGTCTAACAACTGCCACTTGGCGAGCTAGTTCACGATTAGTTAAGATTCACTAAAGCCTGGTCCGTGAGCACGTAGAATTTTGTCCAATGACCCCAAGCTACCCATCCTTATCGCTCGCGCGTAATTATGTCGCTGTCGCGCTCGCACACTCACTGCGGGCGCCCGTCGCACAGCCGCGACAGCAATATAATCACGCGCGAGCGATAAGGATGGGTAGCTTGGGGTCATTGGACAAAATTCTACGTGCTCACGGACCAGGCTTTAAACACTATTGACAAAGGCCTTCTGCTGCTCGGAACTCTTAGAAGTACCGGTAAGAGGAACTCAGTCTACCTTGAGTTCCATTTTCTATTTTTCTGGGTAACTCTAGAAAAACAATGTGTGTGTGTGTGCCGTCGAATCAATAATCTGATTGTGATATTTTCTCTGTTTCAGGACCTACTATTCCAGAGTGATTGTGTGTCATTGCATTGCAGCTTAAACGAACACAATCACCATCTCATTAACGAGTTCACTATCAAACAGATGCGCCCGGGTATGTTCACTTGTTTATTATATTGCAATATTCTAATACTCTCTAATGTTGTTCTATTTTTGCATGGCAGCATTTTGCTGCGAGTAAAATCTAGCCATAAAGTACCCGCAGAACTAAAATTAACCGACTTCAACAAAAGGGCCCACGCTGAACTGTCCCACCAAACTCAATGACAGGGGGGCGCTACCATCTTTAAAGTGTAAGGTTTCCAATATGCCAAAAATCGGAACCAGTGATCCGATATTGACGGTGGCGCCCCGCTGTCAATGTCATGGATAGGACAGTTCAGTATATTGGAACTATACTTTTGTAGTATACAAGCCCTTGGTAAATATTTAGTTATTATTTTAAAAAAAAATGAAACCAGCCAGTCCTTGGGCACTTTATGTCTTACTACCATGTGACAGGATTGCAAAGCCCATAAAGGCACTCTTAATGCCACTACATTGTGGACACGTCAGATAAAAGATTGCAGTTGCAAAATGTCTCTTGTTCCCACTACATAGAGTATTATTCGCAGGCGCGTTCCTGGTGAACACGGCGCGCGGCGGGCTGGTGGACGACGAGGGGCTGGCGGCGGCGCTCAAGCAGGGCCGCATCCGCGCCGCTGCGCTCGACGTGCACGAGAACGAGCCCTTCAACGTGTTCCAGGTAACGCGACACATAGCATAGCATAGCACAGTGTTTTTCAACCTTTTTCATGACACGACCCCCCTAGTATGAAAAAAACTTTGGCGACCCCCCGACCGTTCGCTTTTTTTTTCATGCATTTTATAATGTTGCAAAGATGTTTGTAGGGACGGAATACTTCAATCCTTACAACATTTGCATAATTAGATTTCGGATTAATCTGTCTTTATAAGATTTTTTTTTTACTGAGGTGGTTTTTCGACCTCTCACGACCCCCTATAGAGGCTTCGTGACGCCCCAGGGGGTCGCGACCCACAGGTTGAAAAACACTGGCATAGCACATACGTCACGCATCACACGATACTCCACGCACAGCACCATTTTTTAAAACCACGATAGCCGAACGGAGAAGGGGTCGGACTGGCCGACTCGTGATCCGGGGAACGCGGGTTCGGTCCCCGCCGCCGCTCTCCGGTGTTCCGTCATTCGCCTTATGTGGGAAGGAACTGTGGGATTCCGGACAAAGCCTTCACCACAGTCTCTCTGGCAATTGCCTACATGGCAGGCCCTAGGGGAGCACCATAGGCTTATCCAGGAGGGGGGCAGGGGAGTAGCTACCCCCTTCCCCTGTAGAAGTCGCTTTGAAGGAACTAAGTCAAACTATCTGACCTAAAAAATCTGACTTACAGTTCGCACCACTTGCGAGTGACCGAACTTTACAGTGGTGCCCACTGCCTTAGCCACTGGCGAGGGATAGAACTTTACAGTGGCGCCATCCTACTAATTGGCGCAACTGTCTTAGCCACTGGCGAGTGACAGAACCTTATTCTACGGAGGCGCCAGCTGGTGAGGCCAAATACGCAGGCTCTTTGATCCACGCACCACATTTGACATCCCCGTTTAGTGTGAAGTAAGCTTCACAGGTTAATTTTGGCAACTCCAAAAGAATTGCAGTGGTGAGAACGTGAATTGGGAATGGTCCGCGAATGATGTAAAATGGAATTGGGAATGGTCCGCGAATGATGCTATGGAAGTCTGTGGCCTAGGCCTCTGCTTTGAATTTGCAACAGCGCGGGTGACGCAAACTCCGTGACTGTCCGTGAAATTCGATTCCATCTGAATCGACCTTACGGTTCATTTCTTTTTGCACTTTACTACATATACATAAGCCCTTGTATTTCGAACCTTATTGCCTCGTATGAAGGTCCAGTGTTAATTAATTTTATCGATTTCTCTCCCTCAGGGCCCCCTGAAGGAAGCGCCGAACGTGCTGTGCACGCCGCACGCAGCCTTCTACTCGGACGCGTCGGCGCAGGAGCTTCGCGAGATGGCCGCCTCCGAGATCCGCCGCGCCATCGTCGGCCGCATCCCCGACTGCCTGCGCAACTGCGTCAACAAGGTACGGGACTATTCCCACCACTGCAACTCCTGTGTAGCCAGGATCTACAGCTTGACCGCCGCAAAAACCCAACCAATGAAGGTCAAGTTTGTCCCGGGGAAAAGTTAAACTGTCACACATTGGCACGCGCCTCTACTCGCACGCCTCCGAGATCCGCCGCGCCATCGTCGGCCGCATCCCCGACTGCCTGCGCAACTGCGTCAACAAGGTACGGGACTATTCCCACCGCTGCAACTCCTGTGTAGCTAGGATCTTGTTGGAGTTTGGAGCGTAAGAAGGAAAAGACCACGAAGATTACCACGGATTTATTTTAGAACATACAGCACACAGAGACTACATGAGATCGAGTGATTGATCCAGAAGTCTGGAAACCTTACATTGACAGCGGAGTGCCAAATTCAAATATTCAAATATGCTTGCGTTTAAGAGCGTTTACGCCGTTTGGCGCAAAAACAGTACTTTTTCAACTCGTTACAATCATTAACCAGTAATACTACAAATATGTTATAGGCATAAATAGTTAGACAATTTCATCGTCTAAATAGTTAATTGAGAAAATATTGCGATTAGTTTAGTATTCAAGAATTATATCAAGATAAGTCCACACAGGTTTTGTAAATTTCCACTTTAGCGTCAGTTTACAAGCTGAAATTTTTATAAAAATACTGTGAAAACGATTTAACAAACATTTATATCCTATAGCATAGATCCTTGGGCAAATAGTTATCTGAGAAAATTTTTAGATTTAAGCATTTTACAATAAGAAATCACAAATTAAAAAAACGTGAAATACCCAAAAATCAAAGTGATTTTTTCACCAATATTCTTCCTTTATTCAACACAAAAATAGCTTAATACAATAGAAGAATATCTTATCTAAAATATTTACTTTGAAATTTAAAATAATTCATTGTAATTTTTTTTCTATGAGTATTTGAAAACTACTATAAATCGCCGCGCACGAATCGTTCAAATTCAGTCCGCCTCGAGGCGTTCCAGAGTGAGGTCACGTCGCTCGGTGCTAGACAAATAATCTTATGGTATAGTGTGCTTACTTACGTGCTGAAAGAACACTTTCACAGAAAGAAGCAGTGGAAAGGGGGAGCGAGAGGCCTCAGCCGACACTCCGGTTATCCGCCGCCGACACCCTGGGCGCAAGAGGACAGCTTATGGTCTCCAACTGTCCCTTCCTAACAGGCCTCGGTCGCTAGACATGGAGGTGTCTGGTGGCGGCTAAGGACGAATGCTACAGGCAACAGCCAATGGCGATGTCCCGCGTTCCCTCATATCACTTATATGGATCATGGCAGAAACAGTCAGGTTTTTAGTGGGTGTAGGGGCTACCCACCTTCTGGTAGGAAGAACCCCACATAACCCACTAGCTGCCCCCGCAGCTGGTGGGTATGAAATGTTATGCATTTTCCGGATAAAAAAAGAATGGTAAACAGGAAAAGTTTGTTATGAATAGAACCGATTTGAAAAAATCTCTCACCATTAAAATTCATTTTTTTTTCTGCTGAACATAGGCTGTATAAAATATTCTCAAAATAGTAAAAAACCTTTGATAATTTACTATTTGATAAAGAATTTACGTATTTATTATTGATTAGGACTAATGTATACCATTATTTATAATTATAGAGTCGGTGTTGGAAGATTTGAAGATTTTATAGTTTCTTTGGGCTGTCACTTGACAGCCTGGCACACTTTTACGATGGTGGATCAAAGTATTTTGGTTTGACTATAGAGCGTGAGAACACGCACACAGTCATAATTATTTTAGTGTGAATAAAAATAGCATCGAAATTACCTAAACTTGACATGCCACGCTAGACGTAAACGCTCTTAACCAAAAAGTTTCTAACTTTCCAACAGATCTAAAGTCTGTTCGCCGAGAGTTGATAAATATTATGAAATGTCTTGCAATAGCGACTGTCGCTTAATTATCGCATTCTGTATGGCGGGCGTCGTTTGTCACAACGCGCACTGAGTACCATGGTACGAGCCACGCAGCTGTCGTCAAGCGCCCCGGCCGGCGGGCGGCGGCGGCCACAGCGTGACCACTTTTAGTAGATTTCTACTTTTTTGGTAGATGAGGCAAAGAGAACGATGATTTAGTAGTGCGAAATCGTTTAGTAGATTTTGGTAGATAATTGGTATTTTTAAAACATTCTTATAAATGGTAGTCCAAAATTAAATTGTAACCGAGCCGAGAATCCAGGCCAAAAAAAAAGGCCAGGCCAAATAATCTACCAACTTTTTCATTATATCGACAAAATAATTAGCGGGCCGCAATTTAAAAGTTTAGAACCTCTGATATTTAATTTTTTTTATCAACTCTCGGCGAACAGACTTTACAGCTTGACCGCCACAAAAACCCAACCAATGAAGGTCAAGTTTGTCCCGGGGGAAAGTCATTGGACTGTCATTGGACCCGCAACGAAAATAATCAGAAGAACATAGGAGGAGTTCAACAAGGTACACGCGAACATGCGCCTTGCTGCGCGGGCACACGGCACACATTGGCACGCGCCTCTACTCGGCCGCATCCCCGACTGCCTGCGCAACTGCGTCAACAAGGTACGGGACTATTCCCACCTCTCGTTCCCACCGCTGCAACTCCTGTGTAGCCAGGATCTACAGCTTGACCGCCGCAAAAACCCAACCAATGAAGGTCAAGTTTGTCCCGGGGGAAAGTTAAACGCCTGCGCAACTGCGTCAACAAGGTACACGCGAACATGCGCCTTGCTGCGCGGGCACACGGCACACATTGGCACGCGCCTTTACGGACGCGTCGGCGCAGGAGCGGCAGTCTAGACACGGTGGAATCCACACGGTTGCTGGCAGTTCTCGGACAGTTTGCATCGAATTGTAATCGCACCGTTAGGGCCTTGTCAGAGCAGCGGCGCGGCGCGGTACGCTGCGTATTCGCGGCGAACACGTTGCGGCATTTTGCAAGCATTTTGGCGACCGCGGCGTGCCCGCCGCTCAGCTTGCAATCCGCTAGTGTGGCAAGGCCCTTACCGCTTTAGTGCCTCGTCAATGAGAACCATCCACAAACCAAGTGTCTAAAAACGCCTAACATCGTAGCCGTCAGTCACAAAGGTAAGCCCTCAGTTTCTTGTACAAGTCAAGAAATTTCACTGAGTCTATTCGTAATTCTTGTCGTTCCTACACACGAACCGTGTACATTTCTTCGGCGCTGATCAAGAAATAATTCTTGTCTGCGCTAGATACGACACGCGGCGGACGCGCATTATGTGACAAATTAATTTTCGTAGCTAGGTCCGACGAAATTTGAACGGACTAACGGCCCGATTTTTTCACCTGATTTAGCGGTGATGTATGGTTTATAATGAAGGTGTGCACATGCATCGAACATATTCGTAGGTCCGGTAAGAAAATTTACAGCAAACAAATCTTTTCTGCGGCAGACACGGTGAAATTTCTTATCGTATACAAAAGCCTAGGAGGCTGTTTCTATCATGATGTTACTGGAAACATCACTTATGTTTTTCTAAAGATAAATACGTTAATATAGCCTTGCTAAAGAACGCTTATGGCGTCAAGAATTCAGGACTGAAGCTAGAAATAACTTGAACCTCGGTTTGCAAGCAATATCAGTGTTGAGCTCATTATGAGTCTGTCAAAGTTCATTGACGCGAACCCTGATGCTTACGAGCTGCCCATCATTCTCGCCTACGCTAGTAACACTACTAACATAACACCATCTCCCGTTCCAGGACTACTTCCTTCCGGGCGCGCCTCCGGTACTCGCCGCGCCGGCCGCGCCGCTAGCTACTCCCGCGCCCGCCGCCTACAGCGAGGGAATGAACGGCGGTTACTACGCCGGCGCCGCCGCCCAGGCTGCGCATTCCACCACCGCCGCCCACGAGCCCGCGCCGCCGGTGCAGCCCTCGCCGCAGCCGCCGCTCTCGCTGGTACGTGCATCCTCAATAAAGCCGCAGTGAGTGTGCGAGCGCGACAGCAACATAATTACGCGCGAGCGATAGGGATGGGTAGCTTGGGGTCATTGGACGGGATTCTACGCAGCTCGCACACTCACTGCGGGCGCCCGTCGCACAGTCGCGACAGCAACATAATTACGCGCGAGCGATAGAGCGCGTGCCTCCCTTAGCTCCTACGTCACGCCCGCGCCCGCCGCCTACAGCGAGGGAATGAACGGCGGGTACTACGCCGGCGCCGCCGCACAGGCCGCGCACTCCACCACCGCCGCCCACGAGCCCGCGCCGCCGGTGCAGCCCTCGCCGCAGCCGCCGCTCTCGCTGGTACGTGCCTCCTGAACAAAGCCTGGTCCGTGAGCACGTACAATCCCGTCCAATGACCCCAAGCTACCCATCCCGTAATTATGTTGCTGTCGCGACTGTGCGACGCGCGCCCGCAGTGAGTGTGCGAGCGCGACAGCAACATATATTACGCGCGAGCGATAGGGATGGGTAGCTTGGGGTCATTGGACGGGATTCTACGCAGCTCGCACACTCACTGCGGGCGCCCGTCGCACAGTCGCGACAGCAACATAATTACGCGCGAGCGATAGAGCGCGTGCCTCCCTTAGCTCCTACGTCACGCCCGCGCCCGCCGCCTACAGCGAGGGAATGAACGGCGGGTACTACGCCGGCGCCGCCGCACAGGCCGCGCACTCCACCACCGCCGCCCACGAGCCCGCGCCGCCGGTGCAGCCCTCGCCGCAGCCGCCGCTCTCGCTGGTACGTGCCTCCTGAACAAAGCCTGGTCCGTGAGCACGTACAATCCCGTCCAATGACCCCAAGCTACCCATCCCGTAATTATGTTGCTGTCGCGACTGTGCGACGCGCGCCCGCAGTGAGTGTGCGAGCGCGACAGCAACATATATTACGCGCGAGCGATAGGGATGGGTAGCTTGGGGTCATTGGACGGGATTCTACGCAGCTCGCACACTCACTGCGGGCGCCCGTCGCACAGTCGCGACAGCAACATATTAGCTCCTACGTCACGCCGGCGCCGCCAGGCCGCCACTCTCCCTTAGCTTGGAGATTATATTATAGCCTTACAGAGACGTGGTCGCTCCTTATAAGAAGGCTTAAGGTCGATGGAACGTGCTATGCTCGGAGTTTTAATGCGTGATAGAATCAGAAATGAAGAGATCCACAGGAAAATTAAAGATCGTCAACCGACCACCTAGAGAGGTGAGGCTACAGTGGGCCTGAGTGACCGGGACACCTGGTGAAACAGAACCCCAGGCTCGCAGTAACAGGTTACAGTCTGCTCTATGCCGCTGCTCGGTCAACTCTGCTAATCAGAGTAGTACCAAGCGCAGCCTTACATACTTAAGGGGCAAATGCCCCGGCGCTAGCCCCCGCCTGAGAGGGATTTTTTTTATGCATGTCCCGGGGCAAATGCCTCGGCGGCCCCCAGCCTATTCAATAGTGGGTTACGGGTTGCCTGACAGGCTCGGCGAGCTGACGTAACCTACTGTGCAGATGTTGCATTCGGGGTCCTTCACCATCGCACCTCACGACTCGCGTGCCACTTTTTATCTTGCTTCTCATTTGTAATAGAAAATCCATATTTAAATCGCAAATATGGATTATACCACAGTAAATATAAGGATATAAGGATTACTTTTTATTCATACACTGGGCATCAAATAAATCGCACCTCCCGCGACAAGCACTTATCAAACGTATGCATCCCCACTTCCCACCAACGTTGGTACCATTTGAAAGCCTAGTTCTAAACTTCATTTCATTAAAGGAAAGGTTTTTACCCCAAAAATGTGTCTTTACAAGGACCCAGAGTCACTTCTTCAAAAAATAGGTAGTTCCACTATAGCCATTTTTTGTGACTATAAAACTGTTAAGTTGGGATTAATCGCTATCCATCTATTGAAGAGGACACGTGAGATATTTATTTGGTTTTATAACCATAAAAATTGGTCTAATTGATCCCACAGGTGAGCCCAAAGTGAGGTCTGTTTTCAAGTCACATTTATGGTATATGTTTAATCATTTATTTAGAAATGAAATGTATTTTTCTTTAAGGATATTTATTGGGCTTTCAAATAACACCAATATTGTTGGGGTACCATGATTGTGTCAGAAGAAAATCTTTAAAGTTCGCGTCGCGGAAGGTGCGTTTATTTGATGTTGAGTGTAGTTTTCTTTTTCTAATGAATGTTTTTGTCCACAGCCAATCAACACTTCGGACCCGGCCAATCACCAGTTGAACAAAGAGGGGAGCGCCGACGTCCACTAGGCGACGAGAATACGCTACGTTACAGTACCGTAAGGCGCCGAGCGACAAACTTACAAACAAACAATAGTTTTATTGATTCCATCGCAACTATGTCATAAGTACCTATGTCGTAAGCCAACGAGTGATAATTATGTAGCGGCGTTTGCATTGAGACCGGTGCCAGGAGGCCGGACAATAAGTGAGTGGATTCGAGTGAAGTGACTCGTGCGTGACGGGACTACGACGCTAGTGTGATACGTCTCAGTGCAAACGGCGCGTAATGAGCGAATAGTTGATTCTGTGTTTGTATTTGGTAAGTTGGGACAGCTATATATGAATACTGTATATGTATCGCGCGCACCGGCCGCGCCCTGCCGCTCGCTGCGTCGGCGGCGCCGTCAAGTGCGTCGAGACATGGCGGGTGACCATAGACAACTTGTTAGTAACTATTGAAAGATTCCTCTTTGGCCAAGTCAATGGATGGCCACAGATGAATTTTTCCTTCATAGTGGTGCCGTCATATTGCTCATATTGTAAGACGGATTAGAAAGATTTCTAAGAAACCACATTGTTACTTAAGTGGCGCGTTTCGCCGCCCCGAAAAGTTTTGTTTTTGGCCAAGAATGGTGTTTTTATTTTGTAGCGCAAGCAGTGCTTGCTATTTTTCTTGTATAATGTGTACGGTGAACTCTAAGCCGACTGTGTGCCGAAGACAATATGGTCATGGTCATGGTCAAAAGCAACGTTTTCTACAAAAGCGGTAGCGTCACGAATAATGGAAAAGGCGGACCTAATTTTATAAAATCTAGACAACTTTTGTGGCCCCAACTTGACGGCACCGCTGACACAGAAAGCTAGCGTTCGGCTCGCACATACAATGTTGCGAACCTCATCATTATCGTCCAAGCAGTGCTTCGGTGGAGTAACCAATGCTGGAACAAAACGATACTCCAAAGTTCAGGCTCTATTATAAAATGTTATGAGGCACAACGATTTGATACTTAGTCGCAATTATAGTAATTTGTTCACACTTTTGCCTTTAGAGTCGCTATTACTTTAAGATGCGATTTCTGGCTGGCGCGCATGCGAAGTTACGCTCATATTACCGATTCGTTTAATTTAAACATGGATCAGTATAAAAACCGTAATTAATACAATGAAGTGTGGTAAGAAACTAACGGAGCCTCAACTTACGAGTATCGTTATAGCGGGTGTTCTCCTTTACGCGATAGCCGTTTTTTCCGCTCTACCCGTCCCTTGTCAAGCCAGTTACAGCGTCACGCAAAAAGCGCTCTTAAGTTGCACTGTAATGTTTATTTCAGGGCGCTTTTTGCGTAATGCAATCGGCAAAATGAAAGGGACAGAGCATAAAAGTCGGTGACCGCAGGGCGCGCGCGGCGCCGCCCGACGCCACATACATACGAACTGTTAATTTTTAAGTATCGACAAATGGACTGTAGATTCTATCATCACACTTGTAAACGAGAAAACGGGAGGTCTTCGTGTTTTTTTTGTTTGAAATGTACAAAATCATGCTTTCATTTGATTAATTTTTTTTTCTAAATAGAGTTTAAGTGACGAATTTGTACATGAACGAACACCGTCGAAAGTAGACCGAAACGCAATAGCGGGGCGCGCCCCACATCCACCTGTTTGAAAATCGTGAGAAATTGGTATTTAAAATTAGTATTTACTTACAGTTTAGTTTAATGACAAAAACAATGTGTATATTTTATGAGAAAGTGAAAAGTTCTTAAATAAAACTATTGTTTTCGGATTAATTACTTTCGTGTTTTATTTAATTTCTAGTTGATCCCTAATACACAGGAACAGTCGTCGAATAATTCTATACACAACACATGATTGTAATTTTATTATTATCTTATAAAACATAACAATAAAAATGAGATCGAACTAATCACCGCAGTAATGCAACAATGTTAATTTAATTTGTAAAATTTTAAACTTGTAAACGTTTTATACAAATATCTAATTTGTATGTTGCATTTACCGCTACATATTTGGCTCAGTAACACTAAAGATGTTATAAACAACTGGGGCTCCGTTGACACATCGATAATACCTATAACTAGCTAGCACATACAAAATTCTCATAAATAATTGACTAGATACAACAACCCAACATGGTTTTTAATATGGCACAATCGGCCATACGTGGGTAGATAGAAATTATGCTATCATTTGAACTGTAGAAATAGTATACCTACAGCCCTTTAAAATCTTGTGGCCTGTGGTTGTAAATGGCCACTCGTAGGAACAAAGCACACTTGCCACTTTCATCATGATCAATCTTCTTGATAGGTTATCGAATTATAGGGCGCTCAACGAGAGTTGAGCCATCAACAGAAGCAAAGGTTTGTATCTGTATACGCTATCTGCGCTTACGTCTTGCGTAGTCCAACTGACTTATACTCTGATTTTTATTATTATTCTGTCTAATGGCTCCAATGGTGCGAATTTGAAGCACACTGGTTTTGCCAATGTCGAGTGTTTAGAGAGACACGGTGGACAGTGGAATTTGAAGGTTGCCCGGTGATAATTTAATTAATTTATTCTTCAATGAGCTTTTTACCACCTAAAACAATTATAGTTTTATTTTATATGTTTTTATATATTTAAAAATATATTTTATGACAGGAGAGGTTATAAGGGTTAATAAATAATTACAATTAAAAGGGCGGGGAATTTTATAGGGGAGGATATCATAAAGGGAAAGAGGAAAATTTTTACAAGCGAAGAAGATATGATCCGGAGTGCCCTCATCTAGGCCACACTCGCACAAAGAACTGTCTTTGATGTGCAGTTTATGAAGAAATACAGGGGTACAAGCATGAGTAAGACGTAACCGGCTGATCACAGATATAGAAAGTTTGTCCGAGTCACTCTGATTTTTAATTCGACGGAATTTTGACATTTCATAAGTGTTGTCAACATTGAAACATTCTCACTAAGAATGGAGAGCATTTTCACAAATTAAAAAATAATCCTTTCATGAATTTAAGGTTTCACTTGAAAAACTAAGGCTTAAAAATGTACTGATAATTTCAAAATGGTTATTTGAATTTTTATTATCATATTTTTGAAGTTACAAAAAAAAATTGGGACTTTTTATTTCTATTTCTGGACTCCCTGGCCAATAATCCATGGGTTACAAACCTTTTTTTATGAAAATCCTTTTTGTTAATAAAATCTTAGCTTCATAAAATAACCAATTTAACAAGATGCCAATTTTATAGTTGATTATGATGACGAATATGACGATAATGATGATTTTCGTTTATGATAATATGTTGTTTTACTGTGTTAAAAACACGTTTTTTTCTATTCAATCTCTAAAATGTACATAATAATTAGTGTACATTGAATTCACAAAACAAACAATAGTTCATTCTTGTAAGTTGTACTTGTAAGTTGTACTTGATGAAATTTCATTTCATATTATTTATTAATAATTCAAAGCAAAAAAGGCTTATTACATCTGAATTGTCAAAAAATTACAGCAGTCAGAATTCTGCCGATTTAAAAATCGGACTGTAGTGCTTTATGTCTCGCTTGCAGACATAAATGTCTCTCTTGGTAAACCAAGAGCGAGGTAGCTAGTGTATTTCGATTCTGTATCTCCAGTCTCTACTATCATTATGTCCCAGTTTTGGCCGAAAACATAGCGTTCTGTAATAAAAAACAGTACACTTTTATGTTCAGTTATGATTAATTAAAAGAAATGTCTAAGTAAAATTCTGGATTTCGATTCGCGTTTAGAATCATCCTCAAAATTAATTTCCTAGTGATTTTGTTTGCATAGGGGTCACTTAAAAAATAGGGATTGATGGTGAAAACGGGCATAGATCTCTGCTATCCCAATAAAGAAGCGAGTGTGCTTTGCCCTTCAAATTGGTCCATAACCCAACTACAATAACGTCCACAATTCCCTTAGTCCATCTGATGAGCGGACACCTGCGATGGGGGCGAAGGCACCCGCAAACGCCGCGCCTCGTCGGCATCCAACGCTCGCTTCATCTCGTAGTACTTCTGCTTGAATGAGAGGAGCTCTCCATTCACTCGCTCCAGCTCTAACCGTTGGTCGGTCACTTGCTTCTCACGCATGCTCAGCTCTGGTAAAGTTAGTACAATTAGGGCACCAGACAATTCACATCTTGAAGTAAGTAACTTAGAAGAGAGGCAATTTTAGGGCTATATTTCACCGGGACACCATGACGGCGCAACCAGTCGCCGCTACCAACAAAATGTATACAGCTTTGCGCAACCAAACGGACACCAGGTGAGTAACTCTCTATAGAGCTGTATACATTTTGTTGGTAGCGGCGAATGGTTGCGCCGCCAATCATGATGTTAGATCGTTTCATCCACGAAGACGCGCCCCACCATTCTTCCGCGAATGTTTGAGTGTTATCGGTACGTACACGCTAAAATTTATCAATGAGTGCATACGTATACTACGATAATGACGCTAGGATTGCTCGGATCAAACGATCTACAATCAAAAAGTTGTTCTGTATTTTTTTTAAATTCGACATTCAGACCGAGAAACGACATTATTTTTTCAATTTTTCGTCTATCATCGTCGCCAATGACAGCTGCTCAGTTAGCATGAGAGAGATGGTTAGAATGAGGATCAGTACTGTTGTAGAAAATTCAATAAAACTAGTATTTACGTTAATCTTTAAGACATAAGAAAGATATATCTTTTTGAATTATCCAAATCGGACCATTACTTACGAAGATATTAAGTAATAAACATAGGCCGTTTTTGCCGCTAAAAGTCAACGTACGCAAGGCCGCGTGACGTCATTATATCCGAATCGAGCGCAGCCGGCGTACTAATGGGATGGAAAATATTTTTTTCCGGCTAAACTATCAGTTTTAGAAAAAAAATTTTTAAAAATTACCTATCGATAGCTTACTTTATTCTGATGAATAAATGTCATTACAAGTTTTTCTCTAAAACTGATAATTAATTTAGAAAAAAATATTTTCTATCCACGCAGTACGCCGGCAGCGTTCGGATCGGATATAATGACGTCATCGTCCCCGCGCCTGGCGGTCAGTGAACTTTTTTAGTAATTTGGCCATAACTTCGTCAATTTTTGTCGTAGAACAAAAATTTTTGCACTGTGTATTAAGGATTTCTTAGCCCTATAAATCTGCATTCACAGCTAAAAATCGAAATGATCCTCATTATAAAATTCTTTTACAATAGGGACCTAGGTAGCTTTCGCATTAATCCAAGCTTAAATAAGTAGGTAGTTACATAATATTTTTACTACTAAACAAAAAATGTATTGGATAAATTAATCATAAAATATGCGGTTGACATTTATAACAAAAGAAAAATCCGCAAATACCTACACAAAGATTCTGATGTAACAAGACAGGGATATTAAGTCATTTACCTGCGATCAAGCACTTCATCTTAGTAGTCCTCTGAGCCAATGCCCGCTGAGTGCGATTCAAGGTTTGCTGCAAAATTAAATAAAATAAGTTATTTATCGGTCTTTCCTCTTAAAATAATCAATTGCCGACGCGATCTTCACGCGTTGGTTTGACTGAAGCATAATATAATGCATTGTAAGAATAAACTCACAAATAAGCAACTTATTTTTTAAGATATTAATCCTTGCCAAGTTTCATAACAGGCCTAGAAGTTGCTTAAGAGCTAGATCAGTCAGTTCGAGTGAACGAATTACGGACGACAAAACAAGCTAAAAACGGTGGCGTCCTATCTCATTGTAATACAGGCTAATATATTGTAACAGAAATGTATGTGCTTTCGAATGAAATAAATAACCCACCTGTATTTCAGGGCTTGGCTGAAGAGCCAGCATGTCTTTGACAGCGCTGTACAAGTTGCGCGTCTCCTTTAGCTCGCGGTCTTTCAGCACCAACATCTCACTTTGAGCCAGCACCTTTCTGGAGAACACACAAATTGAAAAATCACTAACAAGTCAACGTTCCCTAACATCGTGCAGTTAATTATTATTCATGGGATTGCTACTAATGCTACCATGTACCTTAATAACGAGCCTCCGATATTTCACCATGATCACGGAGTAACTGAAGAACTGAGAGAGTGACATATTATGATGGTCTACACTCTTTCGCAGTGGGCAGGCCTCCTACTAGGTGGACCGACGATCTGGTAAAGGTCGCGGGAAGAGCCTGGATGCGGGCAGCGCAGGACCGTTCATTGTGGAAAACCTTGGGGGAGGCCTTTGTCCAGCAGTGGACGTCATTTGGCTGAAACGAACGAACGAACGAACACTCTTTCGCGGGCCGGAAGATGTAGCGTGGGCAGACCTCCCACTAGGTGGACCGACGATCTGGTTGTGGGAAGAGCCTGGGTGCGGGCAGCGCCGGACTGGTCGTTATGGAAAACCTTGGGGAAGGCCTTTGTCCAGCAGTGGACGTCATTTGGCTGAAACGAACGAACGAACCCTCTTTCGCGGTCTTTTATTACGATTGCCTCCCGTAACTTACCGTGTTAGTGATCATGAAAGTTCAAAAAAATATATCGTGCAGTTAAAGGGAAGGCGAACAGTTTTTTGAAGAATCACAAAAAAGGGGAAGAGGAAGACCTCAAACCACCTGGATGACGAATGTCCAAAAGGACATGAAATTATTAGGACTATACGAACAAGACGTTCAAGATAGAATCAAATGGCGGCGCATGATTGGGAAAGCCGACCCCGCGTAACGGGATAAGGCGAAGCAGAAGAAAAAAATGACAATATCCACAAGTGTAATTTAAATTTTCTTCACCTTAATACAGGTAAGTTTGTTTACATTATGTATGAATTAAAGATTAATCGGGGTCACACTAAACACTTATAAATGCACCATTTAATTTTGTGAACAATTGCACTTATTTTTACGACTTAAAATGGAATAATTCAATTTATACTAATCAAATGATTGGGAAAGCCGACCCCGCGTAACGGGATAAGGCGAAGCAGAAGAAGAAAATGACAATATCCACAAGTGTAATTTAAATTTTCTTCACCTTAATACAGGTAAGTTTGTTTACATTATGTATGAATTAAAGATTAATCGGGGTCACACGAAACACTTATAAATGCACCATTTGTGAACAATTGCACTTATTTTTACGACTTAAAATGGAATAATTCAATTTATACTAATCAAATGCATGCATTTAGCAGTCGTATTTATGGCAACGTTTCTAGAAACGATTGGAATAAATCTTTGATAAGTTGAAAGCTGATCATCATTTGTCATCCGATCAACACAATGCAATGTTGCTTCAGTTGGCCTCGATACCGCGAAATCCCCATTAAAATTTAACATTCCACGGATTGTAATGCTAACTCAGAAATGAGTGTTATTTGCATTTTTAAAGGCATAATTCAAGAACAAGGTAAGTGATCATTAAAATATTAGATAACACCTACTAAGAGCCGGTACTGATTCAGCCTCGGCAGTCAATCTTCATCTTTGTGATGATTTAATTGGAACAATCTGGGCTAATTATTGGGTGTTTGTTTGTCGCCATTAGCAGCGTGTTATGGCGTAGTCTACAGAAGTGACTGTGTATCGTATATCTTGATAAACAATCATAGGAAAACAAATACTAAGTTGAATTGAAATTACCAAGCAAGAATCATTCTACTTGCTTGATAGCCATGAGGGTCACATTCACGCACGAGGCACCGATAGCCCAAGCTATAGTGCGTGCAAACAGTAATTTTGTAATTAAGAAATTACCTTATGGTAGATACATCTTTGGATCGATCTGTGAATTTATCAATGCATCAATCACACGGAATCGGAATCAGGAATGTAAAGCTACTTCATAATTTGTTGTTTGTAGAGTTTGGAGGACTAGGTATACGTTTTTAATACGGATAAATGTTTATTGTTTACAATTCGAAATATAGCTTCAAAGCAGTGCAGTGTGCAGTTGAGACCCAGACTAGGTTTACCTACAGCAAATATTATTTTAACAGTTTTTTTAAAGTTCTCTGGTCTGTTACGATTTATTCAAAAACAAAATGGTTGGTATTTTGTTTTACCTAAGTGTATCTGTTGAACAGATTAACTCTATAAATCTTTGCTAACCCAAGCTGACACAGATCGAGTACCTCCGCCCATTGCGTGTCTCTCAGGCCTCGTGGCAGGCGCTGCCGACTGCAATTACTTCATTACCCGCCGAAAGATCTGAATACAATGCACCGCCTTCGGAGTAAATTGCAGGGAAAAGTAGACCAAAGAAATGCGGCGTTTACCTGAACTGCAATGGAACGTGCCAAGTAATAGACAAAGGAAAATTGAATTATGCTAATGGTTATTAATCCGAAATTTTTGTCCCTTATTGAAAGTTAATCTCTATTTAATGGACTATAAGCCAATATACCTAGGTCTCATCAGTGGTGGACATTTGGACCACTTTTGGTCATTGTCCTTTGTTAGAAACCATATAAAGCCATATTATTATGGAACAATTTCAAAATAATTCATCATCAGCAAGAGGTGAAATCTCGTGAATGAAGGACTTTCCACACTAGCGTCTTTCGAGCGATTTCGTCTTGCCAGCGCCTGCGTAGATCTCCGCCAAATATATGCAGCGCTGGCGTCGTCTATTTTCACACTGATTGTAGAAAGCGCGGGCACTGGCAAGATGACGATTAGTACTCCAAAGACGTTAGTGTCCCTATAAGGGCTACATCAGATCGACTAGACTGGTGATTTTAAGAATGTATCGGTGCTGAATCACGTTTTGGCATCTCTGCGTTCATGCTTTTGGACACGGTATCGGAATCAAAATCGAATGCTGGATCGACAACACTCGGCTGGTGAAGAGGATACGTAAATGCCAAATCAATGCGAGGCCGGGCATCCGAATAGGTGCGGAGTGTAACGTTCATCTGATGTTGTGTCGAGCTTTCTAAAAGCGAATTAATCGCCGCGTTTGTAGTTATAAGTGTACGGTGTAGGTATAAGGTGTGGTCGTAATCGATTCAGCTTCTAAAAAGCAGCTAAATCGCTGATCGCCAATTTTAAAAGTGAAGTGAAGTGATGTGACCCTAAATAATCTTTAAACAAGTCTTACTTCTGCGTGAGCCGTAGCTTCTGTGTCAGCTGCACGCTCTCCGGATCGGTTCCCTGCAGCTTCCTCCAGCGGTGCACATTGAGTGGAGTCTCCAGGGCTTCCTCCAAGGCCCTGACGCGCAGTCTCTCGCGACCGAGCTCCCGCTCCAAGTTGAACACCTAAATTGAAGCGTAAAGTCAGCGGGTTTTGGTCGAATTTCATACGGCATTTAGCTGAACATTGGTCACTAATTGTAGTGCAGAATACTAAATCTCTAAAATAATGATTTTGCAAATACAGAGCTTGTACTTAGGTAGTAAGTTACATCCGTGTCAGATTAATTTATTTAATTTTGTGATCACTTCACGCAGTGGATTAATTTTATATGGTATAAAAGAAGACGTAGTTAAAGAAGGAGGAATCTTGCTCGGTGGACTGACCATCTGAAGATCACCGATAGCGCCTGGAAGTAGGTAGCGTAAGACCGGAAACTTTGGAAATGCTTGTGGGCTTCGTCCAGTTGGTTAGTATCATCACAGATAATATAATACTGTATCATTTTAGCGAAATACTTAGTACACATTTAAAAGAAGACGTAACGAAACGTTGGCGAAATTGAATCTGATATGAGGAAAACGTTATTTCAAACTCTATATACTATTGATAAATTCATAGGATATGATGACCGACTTAAAGAACATAGCAAAAGGAATTAAATGCAAATATCAATGTTGCATAGCTAACGGCGCATACAATCAAAGATATTAACCACCACATGCACGGTTATTATGACAAATGCGTGCATCAATGAATACAATCAGTAAATTAAATTATTGAAATTATAGTACTTATAACAAATCAATTCATATAAATTTTACGTGTGGCTTTGGCCTAATGATAATGAGGATACTTTACCTCAAGCCTCAAATCGGTCATGTTCTCAATGCCTTTTGAGAGCAAGTTCTTTTCCTTTCGAAGTCGGATAATCTCCAGTCTCAGCAAACGAATGTCTTCAACTCTTTGTTCGTATTGACGCTCCCCTAAAATAAAGATTAGTAAATCAGAATAGGGAATACGAGTATTTTACTTTTAGAGTCAGCGTCAAATACACTCAACATCAAATAAACCGCACCTTCTGCGACGCGAACTTTAAAGATTTTCTTCTGACACAATTATGGTACCCCAACAATATTGGTGTTATTTGAAAGCCCAATAAATATCCTTAAAGAAAAATACATTTCATTTCTAAATAAATTATGAACATATATCTACCATAAATGTGACTTGAAAATAGACCTCACTTTGGGATCAACTCTGGAATCAATTAGACCAATTTTTATGGTTATAAAACCAAATAAAGATCTCACGTGTCCTCTTTAACAGATGGATAGCGATTAATCCTAACTTAACAGTTTTATAGTCATAAAAAATGGCTAAGTATAGCGTAATTACCTATTTTTTGAAGAAGTGACTCTGGATCCTTGTAAAGACACATTTTTGGGGTAAAAACCTTTCGTTTAATGAAATGAAGTTTAGAACTAGGCTTTCAAATGGTACCAACGTTGGTGGGAAGTGGATATGCATACGTTTGATAAGTGCTTGTCGCGGGAGGTGCGATTTATTTGATGCCGAGTGTAGTTCGTGACACCCAAAGTAGCCAAAAAGTTCGTAACACGTCTTTATCACCAATGGAATAAGGTTGTGTTGTCAAATTTTTGGCCACTTTGGGTGTGACGAACTACTAACTAACGCGGACTGTATTATTGAAGTGATCAGGAAATCATTCATTGCTTTCAGGTAGCCATGAGTTGTCATGTAAAAAGTTTGTCACCGCATCAAATCAAATCAAATCAAATCAAATTCGTTTATTTGTGGAACATAGGTAAATAACATATTACAGGTGTTAAAAATGAGGTCGGTATCACTATGTTTGGCCCAAGGTCGGCGTACAAAGGATGATGGGCACTTTTCTATGGAATCTGGGCGTAAAACCAACAGAAATGTAACTACTATTATTTGTTAGGACTTAATGTTAGAAATATATTTTCATATAAATAACTACCAAAAACTCCCGGGTTTGCTTGGAAATTGACATAATGTATAAGGTAAGTGCCCCCTACTTCGGTATATTAAGGCTCTGACGACTTTAACAATTTATTTAAAAATAACCAAGCATGATATCAGTATGAAAGCTTTTGTATGCTAAACTTTGGTCTTTTGACAGTAACTTAATACATAAATTATAGTTATATTGTTTGAACTTTTTTTAATATTAATTGTTCTGCGGACCTCTTGTTTGGATCCTGTTTCGTGATAAAATTTTGCTCTGTTTCTAAGTTCGTGAACTCATGTCCCCTATTTCGGGATAAAGTTTTACGCATCGAGTTAGGATATTTTAATAATGATTAAGGGTTTAATAAATTTAAAAACGATAGTATAAATTTATAATAAAAGAATTCTGTGAAATTGACGATATTACTTACCTGAAATATTCATGATAAATAATGTGAGTCTGTCTAGCTAGGTAGGTACGTACCTTCGTATAAAGTTTTGATTTATTATTCTAACAATATGTGTAAATATTTATAATAAATGAATTTTATGAATTTTTTTTATATATAACCATCAGAAATGTAGGGGGTCCTTACCCCCCCCCCCCTCCCCTTCGTACCCATAAAATTTAGATTTTTTATTTCTAACGATAATATGTGAAAATATTCATCCAAGTCTAAATTTAAAAAATGTGGGGGTGGGGGTTTGGAGCTGCTTCAAGTGAGTGTAGTCCCCCTCCCCCTGAAAATAACCCCATATACGCCAATGACTGATAATAAAAATTAATTTATTTATTACTTAGGTAGGTAAGTATTAAAAACTAAACAATATGTCGATTTCTTTGATGTTATATGTCATACAAGTACCTAACACTATACATTTATATATCACGAACTTGGGAAAAAGTAACAATAATTACGGTTCCTTGTTTCGTGATACTGATTATTCCAAATTCCCCAAGTAAACGATTTATCGATTAACAATTCGATTAATCGATTTTATTGATTACCATCATTACTATCATTTGATTGTTAATTCAATTCCTTATTTTCAGCAATATAATCGATTATTGCAATCGAATAATCGATTATGATTTATTCGGTATACATACTTACTAAATCGATAGAATCGATAGTAAAATATGATACAATACTCTCAATATGATCGATAAAAGCAATCTAATTGACCTAATACTATTTTTATTACTCTAATGTGATGTGAAATACTATGGAAACTTTGCATATTCATCGACCTCTATCTCCGTATCCCCGCGTATTTCAGGATTGTTGTCATACTATGAAATAAAGTACTAGTATTAAGCTTTAATTTAGTATACTTTTTGTTTCTGTTGGTTTAACGCCCAATATGCCCATCATCCTTTATCGCATCACGCCTATTGCGTCACAATCACAATAAAAACTGACACTAGCGTCACTATTTACAACCCACACAGGTCTTCCCACGTTGCAATAATTATAATATTACGATATGGTTTTCTAATTACCTACCATAATTACTCATGTGCGTACGTACTAGTAAGTATCGGCATTTGAATTCTGTTTGAATGCAAAGTAAGTAGTTATTTATCCATATCCTCTCTATTTCGGTAACTTCTGTCAGAGTAAATACTGCTTCTGTCCAAAAAATATAGATATACGTACTTAGGCGTTGATCTGCGATGGAACCTCAGATCATAGAAGGGAATAGAATGGAACACTCGCGTGCACTCGCTCTGCTGTTCAACTGAAGGCGAGCTATTATAGGTGCTATAACGCTGCGCTGCATGTTTTCATAGTTGGTTAGACGACATAAGTAAACGTTTTAACGCTGCAGCGAACTTTAGTTTTAATTCCTTCCAGAATGGAGCAAGAATTTTGCTTACGATAGATTCTCTATGCTTTATGCCTAACTCTATGGCGTTGGAACTCTCTATCAAGCTGCCATGCTGTCAATAATCAAGGCAGTCAAATCCATAATCTTGTCTACCATTTTTGAACTGGAAATCACTCATTAACTAGCATATCAGTTATTTTCTGGAAGATTTTCATTACCTCTGTGTAAGGTGACCTCCAGTATGCGTATCTTCTCATACAGCAGCGAAATCTCGTCGTTCCTGCGCACGAGTTGCGCGCCGACCACGTCGCGCTCGTTCATCAAACCTTCTAACTCCTTCATCAGCTTGGCGCGGGCTGTGTCGCCTTCCTATGAGGGAAATTAACTTTTGTAATAACTACGTTAAGCCTGATTTTCCATTGGCATAGATGAGGAACTTAATCGAGGAATAGAAAAACTGATGTTTTAAAAGAAGATCAAATCTATTGTTACTGGTATATCAAAATCAGAGAGAATGATAGAGACAAATATCGAAAATATTGTAGAGTCAGTTTCTATATTTCCTACTGGATAATTTGAAGAATACAGTGTTGTAATTATTTTAATTCATAAAGCTACTAATATTCCAAGAATAGGTTCTATGGATATGGAATTTAAGGGGGATTCAGATTCAGTGGTAACGCATTGCCGTTGGTCTATTCAAGATATGACAGAGCCTTAGGGCATTGTCCTGTTTCAAGGCTCCTGTGTCCACTCTCGCGAGTCAGATCCTCAGAGTAGGGATAACTGGACAGAGGACTCTTAGCTCACCATCACAATCCTGTTAAGCCTCGCCTCCTCCTGTTTTAAGGCAGAAATATCCGCTCTCACATCGGACAGCTTGGTCGCATATTTAAGACAAATCCTCAAGGTAGGGGACAACATTAAGAACATTGCGCAAAATGCAAGAAGAACCTCAGCTTACCATAACGATCCTGTTAAGCCTGGCCTCCTCCTGCTTCAAGGCAGCAATATCCACCCTACCATAGAGCAGCTTCATCGCGCGATTATAACTGATCCTCAAGGTAGGGACAATAATAAGAACATTCATAATTCAAGAGAATCCCCAGCTCACCATAACGATCCTGTTAAGCCTAGCCTCCTCCTGCTTCAAGGCAGCAATGTCCGCCCTCGCATCGGACTGCTTTATCGCCCGTTCATGACGGATCTTTAGGATTGGACATTAAGAACAGTCATTATAATTCAAGAGAATCCCCAGCTCACCATAACGATCCTGTTAAGCCTGGCCTCCTCCTGCTTCAAGGCAGCAATGTCCGCCCTCGCATCGGACAGCTTGGTCAGTCCCGCCTGCACTTCGCTGCGGAGTTGTTCGTTCTTCTTGTTGCACTTAGCAAGGGTCCCTTCGCACGACTTCAGCCCGGACTCCTTGCCGCTGATGTCTTCTTTTAGCTGCTCGATTTGGTACGCTAGCATCTGATGATAAAGAATAGCAAATAGCAATTAGTATTGGTTTAATTCTTACAATAATGATCTTAAGATACAAGTTTTCTAGAGAAATTGGAGGTAAAGATCATTTGGGGAGCCAACATTTCTAGGCACAGGAAAATTATGGGTGGCATCACAAGAACCACAACGATCTAGCCCTGGCTTTTTCCGAGACTGTCTGTCTGTCGTTAGTTACCGCGAATTTTTATTAGTACATAAGAAGCGAAAATTTAAGTCGGCAACTTTAATGGCCTTTAAAATTCTCGAGGAAAATGGAATCCATAATGTACACCTGCACAAATAAATGCTGCAATTTCGTCGGCTTAATTTGAGTAATCCAAAGACCTTGAACTTTCAGAAAGAGAAACTTAGTAAAATTTTATTTAGTAGAGTTTGATCATATCCTTTGAGTCTCTCTTAGGCCTTCTAGTGTACAAACCTTGAGTTTCTGCTTCAAGTCCTGTATCTCATCCAGTGCCTCAGTATAGTTCTTGTGCAGCATATTCCTCTCGGCTCTCGTGGCGTCCAGCGCGACCGACAGCTTTCGGCTTTTGATCGTCTCTTCGCGAAGAGCCTTCTTCAGGTCCAGGATATCAGCCGTGCGGAGACGAACCTCCTCTAGAAGAATAAAAGGATAGGTAAGAATATAAAAGACCGCTTCCACATTACATGTGAGAAGCGCAACAGGTCTAAAATGATATAAAATGTAAAGCGAGTATGTATGACAGGCGCGAATCCAGCCCTCAAAAAATGTTGTGGTCACCGCTACCGGAAAGCCAAGCCCGCTATAGAGGATTATGAATAAAAGGATAATCGTACTTACCTGATATTTCGTCAATTTTCTCGTTTAATGCTATTGTTTCTTCTAGCATTCTGAAAAAGAAAGATACTTCTTAGGTATGTGTTTAAAGTCTGTAGTTTACGCAGTGCAGTAAATAAAATAAAATAAAAACAAATTGTGAATTAATTTTGGTAGCTTCTTTGATTAACGTTTTTAACTTACTGCAACAATACTTATATATTGCTAAACAAAACTTGTGTCGTTTCTAGCAATAACCGATTTTGTATTTCTTTTGTTGTTTTTTTGTTTTAGTTCAAGGCAAGCTGATGAGGAATTGAGGAGTAAAGGTGGCGAATGGCGATACACATCCCTTTAATGGTGCGTCCAGACTGGGCGAATGGGCTCGCGCGACACTCTGGTCATCCTGCTCACCCTGCTCTTGAGTGAGCAGGATGTCGTGTTTGCCGCGCGAGCCCGTTCGCCCAGTGTGGACGCACCATAAAGGTAACAGTAGCGTGCATGCTTGTCGACGGCAAGTGCAAGTACAGTCCAACACTCAACCGTCCCAGCTATGACATTGACAGGAGAGCGGTACTATCAATATACTGGGTTATTAGTTTAACCATAACTGGTGTGCAAGTGTACCTGTCCTTATCCTTCTCCAGCTGCCGGATGATGAGCCGCTGCTTGTTGATCTGGCCGGCGCTCATCTCGAGCTCGTGCTCCATCTGCTTGCGACGCTGTTCAGCCAGGTGCAGCATCTGCAGGTTCTCCAGGGCTTCGTCTGGGGATATAAGAACGCAGGTATTAATCGTCGTTCCATGTATTTATGTTTCAACCAAAAGACCGTGTCCAATGTTAGACAAAAAACTTGATAGTCTTGCTTTAGTCTGCTTTAGTTTTTTTTTATTTGGGCATTTTGAATTTCAGAGAGAGCGCGGCGCTTTCGGTTTACGCGTTACTGAGCTCTCCTACGTGATTTAGAATTTTAATTAAATATAAAATAAATAAATATCCTTAGACATTTTATACTGCGCTTCTAGTCCCAAACTAAACAATGCTTGTACTATGGGTACTAGACAACGGATATAAACATACTTAATTATATTTTTTTATTATTAATTAATTGTTGAAAGAGTCTGCTTTCGTTAGAGCCACGAGCAATGAGGGTATTGTTTTAGCGCTCACCAGTTGGCTACCGTAAAGTAAGATCACTGTCACTTGCTAGTGGAGAAGACAGTGGCCAACTGCTGAGCGCTGAAGTGGTAGGAAGACTATCGTATTTGCACACACCAGGATGGCGCCACGAAAGAGTAGGGTCATCCCAATCGCCACTGGTGCCAACCGTTACAACCCGATCTAGCTAACTCACCTCGCTGGAATGCGACTCTTCCTCCCACTTACCCGCACATCTCCCTGCGTTCGTCCTGTCTGTACCAGAGCGTCAATGTGACGTCAAAGCCGCCAGGTACGCAGTTAGCTTGACCAGTTTGTAAGTATAAAAATCTTCATTAAGCATAAACAACTCACTCTGAATCTTCTGCATGTTCTTATTCAGGATGTCTTTTTCCCGGTTGAGGTTCTCAATCTCCCTGCGGTCGGCTTCGGCCTGCTTCTTGCCCAGCATAATTTCGCGCTCCATCACGCTTACTTGCTGACGGAGGCGTTCACTGAATGGAGCCATTAGATTATTTATTTATAGAAATTCCAGAGGAACTTTCCGTTTCAAAAGACGTTCACTGCTAGACAAAGGCCTCCCCAAGGTTTTCATAACGAACGGTCCCGTAATGCCAACATCCTGGTACTTTTCGACCTTCACAAGCAGAAGACCCTAAGAAACTTTTTGTTTAAGAAAATTAAAAGGTTTTTCTCAATAGAGTTCGGATTGCGAAATTGAAAACGCAGCGTTGGGCTTTCACCCACAAGGGGACCGACGAGCGACCTCATAAAGGTAGTAAATAGGAAGGCGCTGAATACAGGCCGCTGCCAACCGGTCAATCAATGGGGGAGGCCTACGTTCAGCAGTGGACGTCCTGTGGGCCCTGTGACTGAAATGATAATGAAGATGAGACTAATATCATAAGTTTAACAAGATTTTACTTCAGCCTAAGGACGTGAGTGTTGACGAGCCGGTTTCTATCATATGCGTCAACAACCGCCCTAATAATTTGACAAGGGCTTTCGTACCGTTCAGATTCCACAGCAGCCTTGTTCTGTTCAAGCAGGGTGTACTTCTTCATCTGCTGCACAGCCTGCTTGGTCAACTTGCTGACTTCGTTGCGCAGCCGGTTGCCGTCGTCGATCATGTTCTACGGCAGGTTAGTGGTTAAGTTATTGATGGTGACAATTTTATAGTTAAAACATTACGTAGAGCGTTTCCAAGAGAGATGTGCGAGTATGCGTAGCGAGGAATGTGTTTTGTGTAAAGAATCAATAGAATCGCTTCATTTACCTATTATACCTATTCTATTCAGCCTATAAAACCTAACGTAATTATTAAATATTACTGTAGATCCTGGTTTCTAAGGGAATTAAAATAGAGAATCACAGGTCTAAACGCGACATTTTGTATGAAGTACATGGGTATACTTTAATTGTAACTAAACGCGAAAGTTTTAAATCTTTTAAGGGAGTTGTAGCAGCTGGTTAGCAGTGTAGTTTACTAATAATAATCACGTCTTCACATTAGCGTTGCAGTGGCACCACTTTTCTAGAATTTCTAGAAGATCTGCCCTTGCGCTGCGCAGTGCCAATCTTCAAAAAGCTACAATAAGATTCCCACCTTCAACTCCTTAGTAGTATTGTGCAGCGCTTGCTTGGTCTTCTCAAAGTTAATGTTGGTCAACTCCAGCGTCTCCCTGAACTGGGCCGCCTTGGCCAACGCCGCTTCTTCTTCAGCTCGGGCCGTCTCCAGCTTGTTCGTCATGTCTTTGAGCTGTCTGTCGCGGCGGTCGATGGTTTTCTCGGCTTTTGTTAGCTGTAGTAAGATTTTTATTAATATTAGTGGGAACTATTTTAATTTTGGGATTTGACGCAAGATTAAACAACTAATTATTAACTAACTTGTTTGTACCACATGAAGCAATAAAGATATTATGATTATGATATTATGATTAATTTCGTAACTGAAATAATATTGTCCAAGTGATAATTTAATTGCTTCTTTTTTCAAGAACAATTCATTTGGCAATGTAGTTGTTAGCGACGNGCTTCGAGATGAAGGATGAATACACCGGAGAGGAGAAGAATTCTCAAGTTGTTGCCACATTGAAGGTAACACCAGAAGTCACTCCGGACCCGAAGAGATTCTCCGATTGGACTCAACTGCTACCTCATCGGGAAGGCAAACTGGAGGACAACGCAGCGCTTCTGGCAAAGATGGCTAAAAGAGTACCTGCCAACTTTGATGCCAAGGAAGATAGCCGGACGGGAAACAGAAGACCCTCGAGTCAGCGACGTCGTTTTTATAGTCGACGTATCGCTTCCAAGGAACACTTGGCCACGAGGGGAAGTGCAGAGGGTATACCCCGCTCCGGACGGAAGAGTACGAGTCCTCGACGTGCGAACACCCAGAGGAGTGCTACGGCGACCGACGCGACAAGTGGTAGTCCTGGTTCCTGCCAAGACGTCGCATCCAGAAGAGGGAGTGCTTCGCACTGCGGGGGAGATTGTTAGCGACGTCGTCCAAGGAAATACGCTAACTTATTAATTAGAATCGATTAGCAACATTAATAGTCAGATAATGTTGTAAAATAATCAATTAGAGTCGATTAGAGATAAATAACATTCCATCTCTTTCTCACATTATCTGTCATCTCGCTTGCACATCAATTTACTCTTCCACACACTTCTGGAATGTTCGAGAGAAAAAGAAACGGGACGGCAACATCGGACCTCTCGCTTCGAACATTCCAGAACTATGGTCCAGAACATGAGAGACAGAGACAGGAATATCGGGAGAGAAAGGGATGGATATAGCCCGGGGCCCTATAAATACGGAGCGAGGCGCTCCGAGAGACAAGTTTGAGTTTATATGTATTGTTTTGTTCAGTTCAGAGAACAAGTGCTCCAAGCAACAAGTGATCTGAAGAAGCAAGAACTGAGAAAAGGAAGCGAATAATAAACGCGAGAAGTCTCAGCAAGTGAAATAGTGGTTTTATTCCTGCAAGTAGCACCTACTACGCCTGACATAGTAAGGGCAAGCTCTCAACGGCAGTCATCATCGTCCGGTCAGCGCTCTCGAACACACACAAACGCATACAGTCCACTGCAGTCCACCACAGTAGTAGTCCGGTCAAATTAGACATAAACCCTGCAATAATTCGCATACAGCTGAAAATTGGTACGAATTTTCGGAGCACCATTATAAGAATGAAACGTAAAAAGTTCACATCGCTCCGACTTGTGCTAAAAAAATTCAAGGTAAAAAAAACGTGTTTTTGAGATTTTCAGCCAAACGGTACCTAAGTTTTATCAATCAATCAATCACAAAAATATGTATGACAAGGTTTAAGACCATCTATTAAAATTGTCTATACACTTTCTACTAAGAGTCAGCGTTTCTGAGATTCGATGATCCCAGCGTAGATTTTCATAGCCCTCTTGTTCTCTATCCTGTTTTCTAAAGGTGTCGTTTATAGGAGATGATAATGATAGGAAACCATTATACGGCCATTCTCACGATTAGGCGTTCTCAGCCTAATTACCATATTATTTTTGAAATTTGGCTTAATTGACTTAAACGCATTTAAATATAAAACACATGAAAAGTACGAATTTAACAATCGTAAAGGCGTCAAATTATTCAAAACTGTTTTCGCGTAAATGAGATCCAAAAATTTTATGGTCACGGTAATTAGATAAGGCTAATACTTAATCTAACGGTAATTAGAAAATATATGTAAAATAGCAAAAAAAAAAACAACATCATGCATTGATAAATTTGTACACAAATAATAGCGTCATATAAAAAGCTGTAGGTACTCTTAATAGTCCTTTGCAAAAAGAAGAACACTAATTTCTATTATTTATTGTATCATTATATTTTCAGTATACTGCCAGAATCGAGGCTATAACAGGAACACTTAGTTTCAGCAAGAAGGGGCTATGTGTCACATTTAAAATGAGAGCATTTAGCTGAATCAGAATCTGAATTTTGCAATTTGCTTTAAATGTGGTACAAACGATGGATACAAATAATGGATCAGGAAATTTGACTTTTTGGATATGCATAAATCGAAAAATGTATTAATGATATTAGTGTTTTTTCCTCTTTTTAATCTATCTGTGAGCAGCCATCACCCATTATCAGACTAAATTGAATTTGTAATAATGACAGTTCCAGCTCTGCATATCCCATGATTTGTCACCTCGATTCTTTTACAATAAGTTTTCAGATTGATGCTAATCGCTTTCTCCTGAGCCTGAATGCAGAATTCTCAGAATTTAGAAGGGATGCAGCAAATAGATTTCATGACGGTCTAGTCTTTGTTTGTAAGCTTTACAGGATTTTTCTACATGCTCTTTGACGTTTGGTATCACTTCAGTGGACTTTGTAAACCGGTCGATGCCATAAATGTCTACATGGGTTTTAGGATGCATTTGTATTTTGTTTGTTCTCCAAGCTTCTTCTGCCCAGTATCCATTGCATATCACGAAGTTTTTTGCATAACAAAGCAGGTAGGATGCAGTCTAGGATGGTACAAAGTGCCTAAACACTCTCGTTTTAAAAAGGCCCATTGTCTGTTCATTTGTTCCCTTTTGTTCTTAATGTGATCACGCTAGGTAAGTGTTACTGTTGGACAATCTCATCTTCTTAGGGCAAAGTTAACATGGATAGATTTTAATGGTATTATATTAGAATTAATTAATGATTTAACATGTTAATATCAATTATATTAATAGTAAAAATAAATATCTGGTACGAGACATGTTTCACGCAGGGGACATCTCCTGGCCATCAGGAAGCCCCGATTTCACTCCAGCTAACTTTTTTTTGTGGGGTTACCTTAGGGGTTAAAATATACTCTAAAATCCAACAACCATGCAGCAACTGAAGCTGAACATTCGTCATGAAATCGAATCTATTTCGAGGTAACTATAACGAAAGCTTTTCAAAATTTTGATGTCAGATTGGAAGAAAAGTCCGTAAAGTTGTTATGCGAAAGTCTAGGTATTTTATAATCATACTTATTCAATCGTGAGTGCAATTTGTAGGTAATAACTTCATACAACGGTGATTATAAATATATGGTAATTAGTACATGGAAATTAGAAAACGATAGTTTTTCTTCAAAATTTCCAAAATCTGCAGGGTATGCAAATACTGTCTTACTATAACGTATGGAGGCCAAAATACTGATTCTATTTAAATCAACAACGTGGATCTACCTTCAAAAATCTAGTTTAAAAATAAGGACATGGTAAATAGAAAAATTGAAAACCAAAGATATGGTAATTATACTCTTACGCAATTCATCGACGGTACGCCAACGCAATAGACGTCTACTTGCTTACAGGTCATAGAACTAACTAAGGGCTCGCGCCGCGCGCGTAAATGATGTGTCAAATATTATTATTTAGGCTTGTGTGCCCAAAAACAAAAAACGTCACGGGAATTAGGATTTTCGCTCGGACAAGCAGTTTTTTAATTCTAATTATTTACAGAATGGTTCTATTGAATAGATATTTTGCCATGCATAAGACAATCTTTTATACTCTTTAAAATGTTGAATGGAGTAAACCAAATCTTTACGACATAAAAATTACAGCCAACTTTTAACATTAAGTCGGTGTGCGGACGCGTAACGGTAATTAGAGAACAGGGTTTCATGAAATTAATTTAGACACAAATACTTAAAATAGAGGCCTATGATTTAATGCACAACTGGATAGGGTTGTTAAGTAACATATAAAAATACTTGCATGTCTCTAATTTGTCATTTTTAACGATTTAACAGCCCGGACACGCAAAAACTAGCTCATCTGAGAATGGCCGTATACTAAATACTTACCTTGTCATTGAGGTTCCCGATAGTTATCCCCCTGTTCTCCACCTCGGATTTCAGGGTGGCACTCTCACCCTTGAGGTGGTCGACCAGACGGTTCTGACGGACTGCATTGTTGTCAGCTTCCTAAATTAAGAAAGAACCAACATTTCGTTTTTGTAGGTACTTATTTCAAAAGACTAACGATAAAATTAAATGTGATGTTATCAAAGTGTGTATTTGAGAAGGTTCTAATGTATCTTTTGTTAACCTTTTTATCATTTTACGCTAATACGGCTCAGTAGTGATGTAATTGGTCCAGTAGTTTTCCGTCTAGAAGTCTAAGAAACTTATGTATGGCTAGAAGAAATAAGTAGATCTATGCAGTGGCAGTAAATATGTGATGATACATTCATGTGTATAATGACGTCACGTTATAGATTTTTTTTTGAGAATGACTACACCAGGTTTGTTTGGAACCCATGACCTTTCGCTTGTCAAGATCTTGCTAGATAACTCTGACAAAATTTTAAGGTGGCTTTTAACACAACAGCTACATTGAATGGTTACTGAAGAAATTAAAAATCCAAGTGATGGTTCAGTTCCCTCAGTGGCAGTCGATCTTTAAGTACGCCCGTATTCACAAACATAACTATAAGGTCTCGCAGTGCGCGTGGACACACTGGGTCACAGACGAACCAATCACAGAGCTCTATTCAACGCTGTGCGTTCGATTTGCTGCTTCACATAAGCAAGCATCGTTTGTGAATACGGGTATTATTCTATATGCCTACCTCCAGCTGTTCCTCTAACTTGGCAATGGTCTCGTCTCCCACAGTGTTCCTCTGCTCCAACTCCTCAACGTATCCCAGAGCGTTGGTGAGCCGCAGCTTCACCCCGTCCAGCTCACCCTGGAGTCTAGCCTTCTCTTTCTCGAATTTCTCTTTCTCTTTCACTGCTGATGTCGCTCCCCTGAACACAAATGTTGTTTGATGAGGATTACTTATTTCAAAAGGATTTTCAAGGTTAAAATTATCAAGACATTGAGTCAAAATCAAAAAAACTTTGCTAACTTTTTGATTTAATTTTCTCCTCTCTCTTATGTTTAAAATTTTAAATAATGTGTTATAATTAACATAAATTGTCACAAACTGTCATTATAAAGCTGTAACTCCTGTATATTTTTCTCGTACCTACTACGGCTTCCAAAAAAATATAAACAAAAGCAGCTACAATAATTAAGGCATCGCAAGAAGCTACCATGAATAATTGCAATGACATCAAAGGTTAGAGCATTGCAACGTAATGTAATAAATTGTATAGTTGCAAGGTTAGTCTAAAATACCAATTTGGAATTCGTTATTAAAAAATGACGTAGGTATCTACGTCTATTAATAAAAATTGGTTCCTTTTCAACCGACTTCAAAAAAAGGAGGAGGTTCTCAATTCGACCCGTATGTTTTTTTTTTTTTTTTTCTATGTTTGTTACGCGATAACTCCGCCAATTATGAACCGATTTGAACAAATCTTTTTTCGGCGTATAGGTAATACCTCAAGGGTGGTCCCATTTAAATTTAATAATAAAAAAAACAACCCCCAAGGGTGGAAAATTGGGGATGAACTTTTTTATACGCAATATCTCCGCCGATTATAAACCAATTTGAACGATTATTTTTTTGTTGAATAGGTATTATCAAAAGGGTGGTTTCATGCGAATTTGAAGAAAATATTTTACCCCCAAGGGTGGAAAATTGGGGATGAACTTTTTTATACGCAATATCTCCGCCGATTATGAACCAATTTTTTTTGGTCTCAGTGTACTGCCTACCTTCAGTGGTAACATCAAGGTAATAATTAGTTAACTAAAAAGCAAGAAATAAGTAAAATTTTATAAAAAAAAATAAAACCGACTCCAAAAAACCTACACTAAAACGTAGAAAAATAATTACTAATTACCTACTTATTTATTAGGACGAATTATTAATATTTATGTAGGTATACCATGATTGATACTTTTGGAGTCGGTGCAGGCAAACTTTACATGTTTCATAATCTTGGCACCGACTCCAGAAGTATCAATCATGGTATACCTACATAAATATTAATTCGTCCTAATAAATAAGTAGGTAATTAGTAATTATTTTTCTACGTTTTAGTGTAGGTTGGAGTCGGTTTTAATTTTTTTTATAATCTGTACCTACAAGGAGGTGGCAATGCTAGCATGGATACGGCAAGAGGATCGAGCATTCACTGGTTGTGTTTCAACTGGCAGTCAAGCGGTAGATCCTGGCCACACAAGAATTGCAGCGGTGGAAACGAGAGGTAGGAATAGTCTTGGTTCACCCTTTCACGGGTAGAACCTAGCCACACAGGAATTGCAGCGGTGGGAACGGGATGTGGGAGGGAATAGTCCTGGTTCTCCCTTTCACAGGGTAGATCCTGGTCACACAGGAATTGCAGCGGTGGGAACGAGAGGTGGGTGAAACTGGTTCACCCTTTCACAGGTAGATCTGTTACTGTATTACCTATAACTGACACAATGAATGATTTATTGATTGATTGGGAATAATCCTGGTTCACCCTTACGCGTCATCGTCGCCAGCCCTCTTCCTAGCGTCCAGTTCCTTCTCCAGGCGGGTGACGGTCTTCTTCATGGTCTCCAGGCTCTCCACACTGGTCAACTCTCGTGCATGCATGGCGTCGGCCAAGGCGCGGGCCTCGTCTGGGAAATATATTATTTAATTGATAGATTCTTTCAAAAATCTGGTTCAAAATGTTTGATGGTTTTACTGTGCAAATAACACGTGACGATATCGCAGTATTGTCTGTAAGTAACTCTACGAAAACCCAGAATAAGATTTACAGTTTATCAATTAACAAATTCCTAAATTATTCCCTCAAATAGAAGCTAATTTCCTTTAATTTATACACATTGGAAAATTCAAAGAAATGGATTCCCTTTGATATCGTAACGTATAATGTGAGAACAGCAGTTTAATAGTTTAAAAAATTCGATGAAACACTAATTGTGTTATACTAAAACCTAATGTTTTTATTAACTTACTTACCGATGTCAGCTCGCAATTTCTCGATGGTTTTGTGGGAGTCGGATATTTCAGCCAGATATTCGTTGACCGTCTCATCGAAACGCTTCAGTCTGTGCTAAAAATCATAAAGGAAATATTTTTGAAACATCATTTTGAATTATTTATGTAGAATGAGTTCGTACGTTCATTCAATTCATGAAAATCCATGGGGGAGACAAATCGTGGGACAGAAATCTCGTCCTAACTTCTCTACTACTACTTTCTTTGGCTGTTTTTTTTAGTTTCAGATGAGAGAACTTGTACTCATTGCAAAATGATGACGTCATGAATGACGATAAAAAAAAGACTACAAAAACACTGTACTTATAAGGATCAATATCTATTGATTTAATATTGAGTTCTTTTAAATTAGTCACGAAATGATAGTTAATTTGTTGTTTTTTAATAATTTTCTATAAGGGTGACTATAGACTAGAGCATTTTTCTCGATCATTTCTATGTAATGTAACGTTCTTACGAATGGTACAATACCGGTAAAATGTACGACGTTTGGTTCGTGAAAGTATGATACACTAGCTAGAAAATATCATAGAGTGCCTCTTTGTGCTGTTACAAGTAAATGTTGCAGTCTATACACCTTTAGGTAAGTCGAGGGTTTGCTAAAAGGCTGTATTTCTTGTTAATCATCCAGCAATGTGTTTTGTAACAAATTGTTTGTCAATTTCCGCCTATTCGCATGTAATCTCTTGATACCTCATTGATATTGCAATCCATAATTATCTTGTTACATTGTTTCATTATTAACAGTACGTGAATAATACGTATAATTTATTTAACTGACACTGTAAAATAGGAACTAACTAGACAATAAATAAGTTTTTTAAGAGTTATTTCCTAGCATACTCAATACGAAGTAAAATTAAAATCTTTGGTACGAATTTCTCCGGACAGTAATCGAACTTGAAATCATTTCAGACGAGGTCTTTCATTGCACCAACTGGGCTGTGAGGTGATCACAGTTAACGTTTTTCCTATTTTTCTAATAAAGCTATTTTTTGTTATATTGCGAGGGCCGAGGAGGATCGAAGCAAATGGCATTTTACAGAAATTTCAACGATTTGTGTTTTCAGAGCGATTTGATGCAAAACTACAGTTTTTATAATGCTTAATCACTAACTATATCGAATAAAGTGCAGGCCAATTTATAATTCAAAATGTTTGACCAGTTTATTTACAAACAACTTCATAATTACTGAAATCTAAAGGACAACGAGTGCCAATCTAGATCGCAGGAAAAAGGAAATGACAATTTAATTAAGACTGAACAGCTGTAAACAATAAGCTGATTTTCTAAAATACTTTTTAATTATGAGGCCAGTTTTTCAGTAACAGTAATGGTGGAAAACATTCAGTAGGGCCTTTCTTCCATGTCGAAAGCTTTGGGATTCTTTTCTTTATTAAAAGGGGCAAAAAAGCTTCTAGGTCACCTAATGGTAATCTCTCGTATAACTGCCGGCCATTTTTGGAAATTTGCCAGTGTATTGGTTGACACTTTTCAGGAAATCTTGATACTTATAGACCGCTGTGTAAGAAATAGCTAGATTTCAAGTGTATTTTACAAGGTTTAATTTATTTTGGTGATTTTTACAGGGGAAAATATTTCAAAATATAAATAAATATAGCAAATAGTTCCTTAGTCAAAGGTGCAGTGAATCTGATTTATTTCAACATTTATTGTATTTTTAGCAACAAAAGTTTAAAAAACAATTCATTTTTGGATTTTCATGCGACAACATTGACACGGTTTTTTAAGCTTTTTTCGTACTTTCCTAGTTTCGTAGTGATCTCTAAGTTAAGGGCTAGGTCTAGTTAGCTAAAACGATCTAGGATGTTCTCAATTTTTTACAATGTTTTTAACCCTTATTCAAACGCGAGCTGGTATGCATTTTTTTTAAAAAGTTGAAGTGGATTTTGGGTAATTGTGGGTCACTTATTTCATATTTTTGATCAAAATTTATAAAAAAATAGGGGAAGGGGTAGTTTTTTGGGTGGTAAATAATTTACCATTATCCATTCATGACTACGAATTATTAAATGTTGGTGGTAAAATAGTTACCATTGTCCGTTTTGGTTTATTTTTGGTTCTTGACTAGTGACTTCCTCTTGGTTCTACCTATATTTTATTAAATATTTTGGGAATGAAATAAATATATTGTTTTTATATTTATTAATATTACTTATTATGCTTACAATTAGGATGCTTACCTTGAGTCTGAAACTAACAATTCACTAATTACGTAACGTCAAAACGTTACGTAAATAGATATCAAAATAACTTACAATTTCTCCAAATATTTATTTAGTTTTATTTGTGCATATACAAAAAACAGCAGGTTTTTTATATATCATCAAACTTTTGTCAAGACGGGATCGGACAATGGTAAACTATTTACCACTTCTTTAAAATGTCTAAATTATATGAATAAATCAATTGCAGACGTTGTCTATAAGTGAGATTATACAATAAATGTTATAGTTTAGGAATTTGAATCCAAAAAACACTTATCAGAATTTTCGTTGAACAAAGTTTCAAAAATACCAAAAACGCGCGCTAAAAACTTGAAATTTTTCACACCAAAACCGTTTGGTTGACTTTGACATTACCTGACAGTGACAAATGACGTTGAAAAGTTGTAAAATGGCATAGATAAGTAAAAAAATATATTTAAAAATATAAATAAGTGACCAAGATATCTTTAAGTATTACCATATCGAAAATTAGGATTTAAGATCTAAAAGTGGGTGCCATATCTTAATTTTTGATTGAATAACAAGCGATCTCAGCAATTACTTTGTAATACTTGTTTCATTTACCCCTTGGTCATTTGGGAAAGTTCAACATGAAAGCGTTATTGGCTTATGATAAGCGCAGTATAATTGCATTATTACTGCGCATTTAAAGTTTTGATAAATTATTTTGATTCACACTCCCACTCATAAATGCAGTAAGTTGTAAGGATACGGCGCATTATTATATTACGTTGTAAGAACTAAAATTTAAATCAATCATTTAACACATGTACCGTAAGTAACGAAAACTACTGATAAACGCAGTAAGGAACAATCATACTGCATTCATGGGTAGTAAGTATCGAACGAAAACGAAGTTAATCCATAACATAAACAGTTTTTTATTAATTTTAAATACAAAATATTAATTAAAATACAAAAACCTCATATCAAAATAAACTTTGAGTTTAGCTCTATAAGCCTATATATTTTTTTTTTACAAATATTTGCGTAACTAATTGTAGACACTCCAAAATAAAATTTCAACTTTGATCGCGTTTTTCTCGAAACTGTTCACTTGTTACTTACTGCGTTTATAAATTGTGCGGCAGAATAGCAGCCGGAGTTTAATAAGACATCTGAATTAGAAATGAGGAAATTGGATAAAGTGGTCGGTGGGATTTTGTGGTAGCGAATCAACTTCGGAGAGAAAAATATGGATGCAGGAAAATTGTCTAAAATAAATAAGTAGGTAAGTTATTAACTAAGTGGATGTTCCCACGTTTGTACCTACGCATTATGCTTATTTTTGACTTATACCTACCTTCTTTCTTCGGTTAAGCGGAAAGGTCATCTTGTAGTCCTGTAGGTCGATAAGCTTTTATCGCGCCATTTTATCAATTTTACGCGATAGTTCTATACATTTGTCGTCTAAAATCATCGGTAAGATTTTATCACGACGCGCATCCTAGGCCTAGCCCGAGAACCAGGCTCGTTTATTTATCTTGTTAATCGATATGGCTATCGTGTCATACAAGTTCTTAGCAATGATGATTGGCATAGGGCGGAATGAAGGTGAGAAGCAGCGTAGTTGATGATGAATATGTCATCATAATGACTACTAGGAACATAATATAGTTTGCTATTTCCGAGAAGCCATGCGCACTAGGTTTCCATCCATCATTTGATCTTTATCAGTCAAACCATATGACGTGTGTAGCTTTCCTTAGTTATGGTATGCGATGATTTATACTTCAACCACATCAACGCGTGCAGATCGCCATCGCCGGCGCGATCATAGGCCAATGACAGGTCTCGCGACCCATGTAACAGTCCACGCGACTAGGGTTGCCAGGTCCAAAATTACAAAAGCCGGACTTTGTGCTACATTTGGCCGGACATTTTACCCTAAAAGCCGGCAATGTGACGGGGGGGGGGGGNATGAGTGAGTACTATCATCATCGGTTGGTAATAAACATCCTGATGCGTGCGCTTCATATGATCGACTTTCGCCTGGCGCGGCAAAAATAAAAAGCCGGACAGGCCGGACAAGGCAATATTTGGCCGGACAAGTCCCTAAAAAGCCGGACGCCTGGCAACCCTACACGCGACCCATGTAACAGTCCACGCGACCTGTCATTGGTCTAGCTATGATCGCGCTTTACATTAATACAGCAGTGTTATTGCGCAGTTTAGAAATCGTTTTCATAATATTGAAAATGAAGAATCTTAATTTAATTTATTACCAATATTTATTGGCATATTAGCAATATTTCCAGCTGAAAGAGACATTCCAATTCCAATTCCAGATTTACACTGCGCAGATTTAACAGTGGAGTGGGGGATGAAATTAATTCATTTTTCATCCCCATGCCACCCTACTGTTTTTTTGACTTGACTTGGCTAATTTCCACGCAGTGTAAAAGCGTCTTTATACTTACGTCGAGCGACTCTATCTGCTGTGTATGGGCGATGTTCTCGCCCTTCAGCTTGTAGTACGAGTCGTACAGCTTGGTATACACGTCGGCATACAACTTCAGGCCTTCGGCTTCTCTCATTTGTTCGAGAACCTTAAAAAGTACATTTTTATGAAAAATCTATTTAACTTCGCAAGTATGTTGAAGTCTTTCATCATCAATAGTAAAATCAATCAAAAGTGTATTGTATTACCTATTAGTGCTCATATTTGTAACCGGTTTAATTATATTGGTAAATTTTCTATACATCCTTGGCTAGCTCTACACATTTTCTTTGGTAGACCCGTAGCCTAAAACCGGATGGCCAGTAACAGAAGTAGTTTCAAGGACTCTTCAGGCCCACTAGCAAAGGGAATTTCCTTGAAGTTAAGAGTGCTGGTTTGTATTTTAGTAGGCCTTATTGACTTGTGGATAAGGTCCGATACTATGTAATTATGGGTTAGTCATCTGTCAGACGTCAATTTTACAAAATAATGATAGTGCGAGCTGGTAGTTTATAGCTGTAGCTACGTAGGTGTGTCCCAGAAAGTTAATTCTAAGTTTATATTTTAATCTGATAACGTTAAGTGCAAAATAAAAGGTGGTATTTCGTAGGTTTTCATTGTGTACCTTTTCAAACTCCCTTTCAGCTTCGGTGGTCTCTGACCCTATGTTTAGGGCCCCCCCGAAGGGCTCATCCTCATCCGGGTCCATCCTAACTACACTCTATAAAACACAAAAACAACAAACGAAATGTAAAGCAAAATAATGTAAAAAACTACGGGAGCGGTAAGTTATGCGGTTGCCATGGTGACGGCGTCGGTGGCAGTGACGTCAAGTGACGTAGGAAAAGTAAGTTTAGCGTGAAGGAGTTTGGCTAAATGAGGTTTTGTATTTTTGTATACCAAAATAAAAGAACTAGTTATTGATTGCGGCTTTGCTTGCGTCGATTTCGATCTAAATGATGTGTCCTGCAATATAATTAAGGACGTTTTATTTCGTACCAAAACTATTAAAACTCTTTTTATTTTTGCAAATAGGCTTTTACACTTTCACACGTCCCAGTATTATTAACCCTACCACTGCTTCTAAAAAGCTTAAAAATATGAGTTTTCCTGAAACGCACTGAAATTATTATTATAATTACTAAATTAAAAAAAAAACTCAAGCAGATGTGTGCCTCGAAGGCTTTAGTCAAGATTAATATTGTAGGTTCAGTTAGAACGGATTGTCGTAACCAATGATATTATAAAATGTTGTAATTAACATTAAAAGGAGTGTAAAATTAATTTATATCACGTTATGATTATGTAGTTATTTCTCGTGGGACAGATGAAGGTAAATAAAAGCTTGTTTTAGAGAGAATAATTTATTAAACAACTAATAAACTACACATAATTGATGTTATAAAGTACCATGTATGAATTATGCAATTAATAATTTTAGAGTACTTGAACGTTCTAGATTTGATTGAGGTCAGACTAGAGGTAGACATAATTGCAAGCACTTAATCGTACGGCTGTTCTAAACTGGATAACTACGGAGATCCGGGGGGTCCCAAATGCTGTCATCAAAGCCCCACTCGACTGCCCTTCAATCAATTTAGCTAATTACCTATTGTACACTAACGGCCGCTCGCGACTTCGTACGCTCGGATCCCGTTTTTCACCCTTAGGGGTTGAACTTTGCAAAATCCCGTCTTAATGAGCACCTTCGTTATAAAAGGAACCCTCTGCAAAATTTGAGACTCCTAGCACTTGTAGTTTCTGAGATTTCGTGATGAGTGAGTCAGTCAGTCAGTGACCTTTCGCTTTTATAGATAATAGATTGATTTAGGTGCGGGAAGCACCTGGATATGGGCAGCACAGGATTGATCGTTGTGGAAATCCTTGGGGGAGGTCTTTGTCATTTTGCTGAAAGTAATGAAATCGCAATCTACTAGTAAGAAGAGCGTTTACGCCGTTTGGCGCAAAAACAGTACTTTTTCAACTCGTTACAATCATTAACCAGTAATACTACAAATATGTTATAGGCATAAATAGTTAGGCAATTTCGTCTTTTAAATAGTTAATTGAGAAAATATTGCGATTAGTTTAGCATTTAAGAATTCTATCAAGATAAGTCCACACAGGTTTTGTAAATTTCCACTTTAGCGTCAGTTTCCAACAATCCGTAATGGTGTGCAATTCCTCACTCCAGATCGCATCTCTTGGGTCTTCCGGCAGTTAATTTTGAGCCCCGTGATGCCCGCCTCTCGATGTAGGTCATCAATTTTGGATTGCATATCGTGATGCGTGTGGCTCAGCAAACAGAGGTCATCAGCATAATCTAAGTCTTCTAAGACTCCGATTATACCGCACTCTATTCCACGCCGTTGGTTTTGATATGCACGACACATGATTCTTCCACCCAAGACAACCAGAAAGAGAAGCGGCGAAAGTAGGCAGACTTGCCGGACGCCCGCATGCACCTCGATGTCTTCGGAGATGAGGCTGTCGTGAGTGACAGTACATGAATATTTCTTGAAGATGGCCTTCATTAAGTAGATGGATATTTTTCGGCGGGACACCAATGTCAGCGAGTCTCGACCATAATAATATGCTTGCTCACTTTAGCGTATCAAAGGCTTTTTCAAAGTCCCTTTGCCATTCTGATGCTTGCTCCAAGATGACACGCAAAGTATTGATCTGGTCGGTGCACGAGCGGTTCGGGCGGAAGCCAGCCTGTTCCCGACGCAAAAGAGGTTCAACGGCTCCCGATAACCTATCCAAGATAATCTTGCAGAAAACCTTTGACGGTATCGAGAGCAAAGTGATACCTTTCCAATTGCTACACTGGCTTAGGTACCCTTTGGCACAGTAATTAAAAGCCCCTTATTCCAGTCGTCTGGTAGTTCCTCTTCCATCCAGATGTTTTCGATGAGAGGTGTCAGGACGTTGGCGGCGGAGTTTACGTCGACTATCACTCAATCAACTCAAAACGAACTCGCGCGCGCGTATTTTGAATTAAACGGCGCGTAAATTTTTCTATTTGTATTTGTTTTTTTATTATTTTACTAAAACCGAAAATACCGAAAATCCCGGTTTTTGTGAAATGAATACCGGTATTAATTAGACCTAAATTTGGCCCGGTATTCCGGTATTTTCGAAATTCGGTATCCCGGTTTGCGACCCCTAGAAAGAAGCAGTGGAAAGGGGGAGCGAGAGGCCTCAGCCGACACTCCGGTTATCCGCCGCCGACACCCTGGGCGCAAGAGGACAGCTTATGGTCTCCAACTGTCCCTTCCTATCCTAACAGGCCTCGGTCGCTAAACATGGAGGTGTCTGGTGGCGGCTAAGGACGAATGCTACAGACAACAGCCAATGACGATGTCCCGCGTTCCCTCATATCACTCATATGGATCATGGCAGAAACAGTCAGGTTTTTAGTGGGTGTAGGGGCTACCCACCTTCTAGTAGGAAGAACCCCACATAACAGCTGGTGGGTATGAAATGTTATGCATTTTCCGGATAAAAAAGAATAGTTAACAGGAAAAGTTTGTTTTGAATAAAACTGATTTGAAAAAATCTGTCACCATTAAAATTCATTTTTTTTTCTGCTGAACATAGGCTGTATAAAATATTCTCAAAATAGTAAAAAACCTTTGATAATTTACTATTTGATAAAGAATTTACGTATTTATTATTGATTAGGACTAATGTATACCATTATTTATAATTATGGAGTCGATGTTGGAAGATTTGAAGATTTCTTCTTCTTCTTTTATTGATGGCGATGAACTTGTGCTTTTATCGTTTCCTTGAGCTGTCACTTGACAGCCTGGCACACTTTTACTATGGTGGATCAAAGTATTTTGGTTTGACTATAGAGCGTGAGAACACGCACACAGTCATAATTATTTTAGTGTGAATAAAACTAGCATCGAAATTACCTAAACTTGACATGCCACGCTAGACGTAAACGCTCTTAACAACCTTGGTAATTTTTTTTATGCAGGACAAGGCAGGTGTTTGACCACAATCGCACCTGATTTTAAGTGAGATGCAGTCTAGGATGGTACATATATTAAGTAGTTTTTATATCAGTGTGCCTACCATGAGTTTACGTTAGGTGAGCTCGCTAGCGAATACGTCAAAAAATTCTATGAAGATTTTATTTCTTGAAAGTAGCCGCTAGGGGCGCTGCACAATATGTCATACATTTAAATGTCATTTTTTTACGTAGTCGCTAGCGAGCACACCTAACGTAAACTCATGGTAGGCACACAGAGGAAGCTCTTGGCCTTCCTTTCACCTGATGGAAAGTGATGATCAGGAAAAGGTTTTCCAGATTCCCGAACCACAAAGGAACTGCAGGCTATCTTACGTCCAACTGCCAGAATCCCAACAATGTGCAACATTGCTGTTGTGGCGACATACACAGGTAAGATAGTGGTAGCTAGACAGGCTGACTTAGAGCAGTGAGTTTTGCTATTGCTGACAGACCGAGACAGAAACCTCATATTTTACATGTGTTATTATGAAACGTGACTAATTGGATCTCATAAAGGTTATCACAAACACTATATGGCTATTTTTATCCACTTAATGTTAGCCTTTCAAGTCTGTACAATAACATTTACCGTTTATTTTGTCTCGGGGCTAGATTCCGATCATAATTTTCAGAAGGTCAACTTACCTATATTTTCAACAACTGTCGCAATCTTCTTAGACACGAAACATTTAACTCAATAGTGTTATGTAGAAAAATAACTTTACCTAATTAAATTAAGTTATTTTGGCAGCCTCACATTGTACTTGGCATATAGTTTTTCAGCTTCGCTTCTTCTTTGGTTGAACTGAAAAAGTAAAAATTAATCTTTTTAACTTGCCCTTCACGTCAGGAAGTATAATGGAGTCAATCTGTAGATCTTGGCATGGTGGAAGTGGGAATAAGAAGTGTGTAAGCAGTCTGTAGTCCTGAAGAATCAATCGATTCGCAGTACGTTTCAACAGTACGTTTCTCCAGAAACTTCCTGTCCCGTACAACCAAACTGTGGAATGGACTGTCGTCTGCGGTGCTGGGTCTGCGGGTGTCTATGGGCGACGGTAATCACTTACCATCAGGTGATCCGTCTGCTCGTTTGCCTCCTGTCACATAAAAAAAAATCTCAAGTAAAGCGTAAAGGTTTAGGCTATCTTATCATAGCTTTACATAAACTTTAGGAGTTGCGTAGTGTTTTTTATCAGGGAACACGCTTGCTATAACGACTCTATGACAGGCGAAGCCGCAGGCACAAATAAGCTTGTTTTTTTTTTGGGATGGACTGAATAAGCTTGTTATTAAGCTCTAGCCCTCATATAATTACGCTTATCACCTACGAGTAGCTGTAAAATATTGATTTCAGCGCGATAAAAAGATAAAGAACAGTATTCCAGTCACAAAACCGTTTCAGTTTTTTGAACAAGCATAATTTATTTCCTTCACAACATACCTATAGGATGAATTGATAGTCCGGCAAGTCAATTAGGTAATTGCTGAGGCCTCTAGCGGCCATCTAATTGTGTTGCAATGAGGAAGTTCGCCGTTGTGCCGCAATCATACTCGTTAGAACAGATTTGAGGGACTTCGTGACGACTGATGTCTCTGTACAAGAATATACAGGCCATATTGTAAAGGGTATACCAGCAGTATGTGGCATTGGCCTAATTTTATCTAAAAGCATTTTAAAGAGC